CCATATTCCATGCCTGTGCATTGAACGTCTGCCCCTATTGGTCAGTGTGTGTCATAGCTACTGGTCGAACGGTTACTTAGGCTTTTATATATATAGAAGATAGATATTAACACTTGACAAAGCACTTCTCCACCTACTTATCTCATTCAGCCTCTCCAATAGCTGTGAGCAGGTTTTATCTCCATTTTTTTAGATGTAGAAACTGAAGGTCAGAGACAGAAAGTGCCTTATCCAAGGCCACCCAAGGGAAATACTGGAAGAACTAAGATTTGAATCTGGGATTCCTATCTCTAAGTCTACTCTTCTTTGTAACCTGCCACCCTTTCTCACTCATACTTGTGTCCTTTGATCTTAATTTGCTTTGGAGCACCAAAGCAAAACATTAACAAGGCAGAAGTCTGGTAGAAGAGAGTGAAAGATGGGTGTCTAGCCCTCTGAAACAGGCTATCTGAGATAGGATGAAAGGTATGTGATGAGGAGAGATAGGATATGGCATGTAAAAGGGAAGGAATGTGACTTATTGATGGGAAATAGGAAAAGAGCTGTCCAGCTTCTGTTTCAGCATACTTCCTGCCTACCCACCAAGGAAATGGCTCTCACCCTGAGAAGCATGCAGCCTTCTTGTGCAGAACTAGAGGACCACTGGCTACTACCTAAGGGTACCACTCCCATGCCCCCATTCCTGGCCCTGTACTCTGTAGAGCTCCTGTTCACTTGTGAACCCCCCAGGCTACCCTAGGAGTTCCTAGCAGATTGGAGTTTGCAGTCTACTCTGATTTCCAAGGAATTTTTATATTGGCCTGTCTATCTTTGCTGGTCTGTCTGGGCTAGATCTCCCTCTGCCAGGCTGGAGAGGGACCAGTGGGATAACAGGGATAGGGAGTGAGGGTATCTTTGTTACTCACTATGTTGTCTTCCATATCTCACTTTTGTCATCTATTGGCACAGGAGGAAGGCGATGACTGCACACTCAGTGTCTACAGGCGACCACACAGCTCCATGGAACGGCCTGAACTGCCCGTGAAGCAGGGGCTGTCAGAGCCTGGGCAAGTACAGGCTGAGGAACGGTCACGACCAACCAGGCCCTGTGCTGAGGAAAACTGAGCCAGCCGGGTGAGGTCTGCTGTGTCCTCTGCTCCTGCTCAGCTCCTCCACCTTCTCATCCTATGAAGGATCCCGGGCCAGTTCACTGGGCTAGATACGAGGCCTTGGCTGGGAGATTGTAGCAGAGAGCCAGGCTTGGCTCAGGTCATTTTTGCCAGGTGGCCAATGGAGATCAGAAACTACAAGCTGGACAGTCACCCAGGCCCAGCCTTCCCCAATTGATGCATGAGTCCCCTCTCCTTGTCCCTGCCCTGTTCCCGGTAGAATCGGCCACTCTGGCCCCCAAATAGGGAATGATATAGAAATGTCTTATATCCTCACCACACAATAGCCCCTTCCACGCAGTTAATGTTCTGATTTCTTGGTCTCCTCACCACATCCAGTTCACTCCCTGTCTGCCCTCGGGACCCAAGTACCGACACTAAGACTTACCAGCCATCAGCTCCATTTAGGGAGCTTCCATTCCTTTCCCCTTTGGAATTCCTCAGACTTTTACCGGAGAGGTCTGTGCTGCCTCTAGGGGATTATGGGACTATGACCTGGCCCCCTTGCTGACCACTGTTTTCTGGGGGCAGAGACACAGATACCTGCCCACCTATTGGAATGACATCATCCCTTCCCCCGACCCCAGCTCACCTTCCAAAGGCACCTGGAAGTGCACAAACCTCATGCATCTCCTTCCCTGGGCACCAATAATGCTACTGGCATTGCCTGCTTCTCTCCTGTGGCTGGAGACTTCACGCTGACTTTGTTTCCACCTTCGGAATATTCCCAGACTAAACTGGGCCTGACCCAGCATACTCTGCCTTCTAGGAAGCGCCCAGCAAAGGGGAAAGTGGACAGGAAGAAGCACTTTCCCTTTAGTCACTCCACAAAGCAATAGCTCCAAGAAAGGCCTGGACTTTGTTCCTCCTCCTCCATCCCCTAGGGAGGAGGTATCGCACTTTACCAAGCTGATGCATTCCTATAGAAGTGGGTCCATGATTCCTGCAAACCAACTATCATGATGATGACATCATGGGAGGAAAGGTAACACATGCCCATCAAGGGCCCCAGATTTAGACAATTCAGAATGCAGCAAACTTTTCAGGAAGCCACATAAATAAAAACTGATTAGCTTCCTTATTCACATGGGGAAGTTAAAAAAAAACACACCATGTAATCTTGACACTGCTATTTCTGTAGCATTCTCAGTTCAAAAAAGGGATCCCCTTCAAAGGCTACCTTTATGAAGCAGAGACTTCCTTCATAGTGAAAGAGCATTAGAGCAGGAGTCAGGAAAGCTAGATTTTCTTAATGGCTTTGTACTTTGCCTCAGTTTCCTTATCTATAAAATGAGTTCTTTGAAATGGTTTCTAAGGGTCCTAAATCTGGCATTCTAAGATTCTTTTTCCATCATCCCACTGGGTGGTGGTGGTGTGATTCTCGATTTTATAAGGTGTCAGTCATCCAAATGGGTTTGGGGAATGTGTCTTTTGATGGTTTTCCTGGGTCCTTTTAATCGTGAGGTTGAGCTCCGTTGGCTTCATTTTTCCAGTCTGTAACATGGTTAGATTGATGATCTCTGCAGCCCTTTTTGGCACCAATGCCATACAGTATCTCCTGCTTGCACTTTCCATAACACCAGTTGGTGTGTGTCCTGTTTCTATGCTTCTTGAGTCATCTTTTCTGGCTTTACTCAGTGTGGGAATCAGTGTTCATCCCCCCTATGTCTGCATCAGACTTGGCAGTCCTGGAGGCTTGGGGAGCACCTACTGTCCTTTCAGGGACAGGAATGTTTTGCTCCTGTTTCCATTTTCTGGAGTTTTGCCAATCTCAAGGCATTGTCATGAGGCTTGCCTGTACTTCACATTGCTGCCTCAGATGTTCAACTTCAGATGCAATTTTCAAAACCTCTTCCTACTGACTTCTCCTGGGTCACCAGCCAGAAACTAGCTTTCTCAAGGCTGCAACCTCTCACTTATAGCCTCCCTATCATCTTCACTGGTTGGCAACCCTGACAGTCCAAAGGAAACTGACTTCTATTTGTGGTCAACTCAGAGGATAGGAAAGTCTGTGGCTCTTCTCTGCTGGTGGAAACACTAGTGCCAAGCCATGCCTTCAAAGTTCTCGCTGATAATTCTCATCTTGGGCACTGGAGCCCTGGATTCTGGTGCTGTAGCTCCTGGTGCCAAAGTCTGGATCTTTTCACATTTCAGCAACATCAACATCTGCCGCTACCCAAAATGCTGTGTGGAAGAGGGACAGCTCTGATACTCTCTTGCTGGGGCGGCTATCTTAAAATCTGAGTGCAATAAGGTTTGGTTGTACCAGTTATTTCAGGATATTTTGTTTCATCTGCACATTTTCTAGAACTGCTGAAAAATAGATTTTAAAGAAATGTCCTCAGCATTATAGAAAATACCATTTGTAATAGCCTGTGAAGGCTATAGGCTCAGTTATCTTGGGCTTCAAATGGCTGGCAAGGCTGGCTCTCAGATCCCAAAGTTGGAAGACACGTTTTTGAAAAGCAACCTAGGTGAGACCATCTGGACCCAGGCCTCACCATCAGGGGTTCTGGGAGAAACATCCAAATAAAAGGGAGACCTGGTAGTTGAATAGTTCTCTAATGAAGCCAAATATTCCCTGTCCCAACCAATAAACCCACTTTACGACAGGCCTTTTCTGCAGCTTAGCTCGAACTTTGAATTTTCCTGGCAGGTATGTGGTTGTGGGAGGGTCCTAGTGAGGGGGAGAACCTGGCTCTCCAGAGCTGCTTTGCTGGAGGAAGTAGAGCTGGCCAAAAGCCAGGAGCTGGTCTCTTCTACCTGCTCTCACCTGTCTCTTGCCGATCTGGTATTAAAAACAACTGGAGAAAGCTGCAGGGATATGGGCAAAAGGATGCAGTGGCTGTTTCTGCTTTTGAGTGGCAATGAAGCAGTTATAATGTGGGTTACAGGGATTTGCAGTGGGGCCAAGGATTCCAACCTTGTCCACAGGCAAGCTTGCACATAAATCATCCCTCTCTCCTGGGGTGTGAAGGGGTCTATATTGATCTTGGACTTGTCATCCTGGAGCAGTTTTAGTTCATTATATTTAGTGGGTTAGTGCCAAGTGCTACCACTTTCCAATAAGGGAACAGGGACCCAGCCTCTGGTCTGGCCCCTAGCTGCCTCTGTTGGCGTGGTGTTCTGTTTTGTTTTGTTTTTGGTTGTTCAGACTGCTTTGGAAGAGCTGCTTTTAGGGATTATCTTTTGAATACCCTGCGTGGGGAACAGGGTTCTCCTCAAAGCCTCAACCAAGATCATAGGAAAGGGGCCCTATTTTCCTGCTGCTTCACAGCTCAGAACAATGTACTGAATGGAATGTATTTTTAAGAGAATAAAGTCTATTTTTTGTATTTTAAAGATTGGGAGGGCTAGGGAAGTAGCCCGCAAAAACTGCTATTACATTATCTGTTGGTCCACACTTACTTGCTCAGGCAGGTGCTTGGGCCTCCCCGCCTGGCCCTTGGAGTCTAGGTGCAGCAGCTTCTACATTCCTGCTCCAAGCATGGGACCAAGGAGGCCGGAACCCTGCCACTGGAAACCAGGGCAAAGCCATGAGCAGTGACTCAGGGCTCCTTGGGTGCATGTGTCTAGTCGAAGCTGCCTGTCTGCATGTATCCTCTGGCTCTCATGCTGTCTGTCGGCTCTGCAGCACAATATGTAACCAATAAAGCTCCCTAGTTTCCATGTGTGTGAGTCAGTGATGCCATTTGTGTTGATGTCATCTCTGCATACAACTTTTCTATGCGTTGGTGCAGCTAGTATATTTCACTGTATTTTATTTAAAATTCTCAGCCAATTACTGGTGCTGTAAGGACTGGAAACATAGCTGAGGCTTAGTAAAGAACATACCTAGAAGCCAGAACTGAATTGGTATTAGAATCATACAGCACCTATTTTATTGCTACATTTTATTTTTAGGCTTATCACACACAAAACAATCTTCTCTCAAGGGGCCTATGCCATTTCTTTAAAAAACAAAAGCACCTAACACTGGTTCAAACACCTTAACCACCCCCTCCCTGCCCCAAGGTAACAATATTAATGGCCGAGCTGGGCTCCAAAGTCGTCGTACTTCCCACTGTTTGCTGCTCTCACCTTTGCATCAATTATACCACTTGCTCTGATCCTGGTGTGCAGAATTTCCTAATGGCTGTCACTCATTCCAAGACTAGGGAAAAAGCCTTCCACTCAGACCACCAATGTAATATCCCTTAAATCTTACTAAGAATAAAACCTCATTTAGGGAAGAATTCACTAATGCAAGTTAAATCCGATTTCTAGAAGCAGATTATACACTCGCATTTAGTCTGCTAAGAGTCCTTGGGTAAGGAATAGGCAGACATTCTGTTCCTACAAGTTTTTACCTTACATGGCAAAAGAGACTTTGAAGATGTGATTAAAGATTTTGAAATGGGGGAGATGATCTGGGTGGGCCTTAAAGTAAATCACAAGTATCCTGAGTGGGAAGGAGGGGGATCTAAAGATCACAAGTGATGATGGAAGCAGAGATTGGTGTGCTTTTCAAGATGGAGGAAGGGGCCATAAGCCAAGGATACAGACAGCCCCTAGAAGCTGAGAAAGGCAAGGAAATAGAATCTTCCCTCAGAGCTTGTTGGTAATTTGTTACAGCAGCAAAGTTACCTAAACCCTTGATCTGCTCCTTATGTAGAACTTGCCAAAACTTTATACCAGTACCTTGGACAGAAGTACAGTTAGACATACCCAGGGAGGGAATCTGGAGAATAAAGCCAGGATAGTCTGTAGAGGACTACCCAAACTTTGTGTTGTCTTGTGTTTTGAGAATTCAAAGTTACCCGATATCCATATGCTCATGCCTCTGGCACATGGTCACCTTCCCCACCCTTTGTGGGGAAATCTAGCCTCACAGACCAGGAAGCCCACTGTTCTATAGGAGCCTATCTTCTGACCAAGTCATTTTTCTCCTTTACATAAACATCCACCTTATGTAAACAGATAAAATTAACATCTCCAACGGAGTAACACTCATGTCTTGTATACGGCTCTAACCCTACGGGAAAACAAACAAAAAGATAGGACTAATTTTATATGAAGTTTTATTCTCAAAATATAAAAAAAACTACCACACCAAGAGACTAACATGTTCTCTCATAGCACTTGCTTGCCTCCGTCTTGAAGAACACACACTTCCACACTAAATGGACAAGTGCCTTCATCCCTGGCTCCAAGTCACTCAAAGGAGACAACCTCCTGGGCCACCTGGCCATCCTGAACTTCGGGAACTGACGGGAAGCCCAAAAGCCAGGGCCGGTTTCTCAGCAATCTATTGCTAGAAGAACTTTGCTTACACAGCAAAAGACACACACGTCAGCCTCTTCCCTTAGGGTACATTTGTTTCAAATGCTTGGGGACTGCTGTGCAGGGACACCTGGTGTGGCCTGGCGAGGCAGGGTGTACATGGCTCCCAAGAATTGGTCTGCAATCCTTCCTGCTTCTCGAAGGCCACTCAGCAGAGCACCATGGACAGTGGCTGGGTAGTTACGGATTGTGTGTTCTCCAGCAAAGAAGAGTCGTGGAATTGGCTATTTGAGGAAAAAAAGTTAAGAGGAAATCAGCACGTTGCAAATATACCTTTGTTGTGTTTAAACTTCCAAATTTCTGTTGGCCTTTGAGGCTGAACTCATCCACCCCCAAACCACTAGCCCATCATTCTACCAAAAAGGGTCGCCCTTAGGAGCAGGCGTTTTATTAGAACTGACAAAACTAGGAGGGGACAACAAAACTCAGCCCAGCCTTAGTTCCAGAGTGACACGTAATTGCACCTGTTCTCACATTCCAGTTTAACTCTGGGGACACCCAGTTCTAAAGACTTTGCCTCATGTAGTGCCTACTGGAGGTGGGGGTGACTGCCCTGAACCATAGAGCACACGGCCTTTGTTCCCACTCGGCTCAGAGCAGGTCTTCCTTAGCGCAGGTCCTGAGAACACTCACTACTCTTTGGAGCAGGGTCAGGCGTCGTCTAGGTAAGGGCCCAAAGTTATTTCTCAGGGGCATCCCCGGGAGATCCCTAGTGACTGGGAGCCTGCAACAATCCTATGAACCATTACAAAATGGGGTGCAATTAAAAACATTTTTTATTTTGTTTTATAGGGACAAAAATCTGAATACAGACTGTTTAGATTTAACAAAGCCAAAATGTGAGAAACCTGATGCAAAAGATAACTGCTCCTCCCTTTTCCTCTGCTGGGTTATGTGAAAGGGTCCAAGACTGACTAAATCTGTAACAATCAGTGGCATTTTTACCCTGAGAACCTGGGATACTGGCCTCTTCCCAAATAAGCCCAGGTACAGTTTGTTAGTTTCTCACCTGTGGGGCACCTGGAATTGAGGGGCCAGGAGTGATTGGCTGAGCCATTAAATCATAGTCATTCCCAGATGATCCTGCAGCCACATAGGAATAGGAGCCCCGGGCCCAGGGATCAGCACGCCAGCGAGACACCACCGTTTCCTTGGGCTAAAGAAAATACCATTGGCAGAAGTTACTACTGGACACTAAGGACAGTAATATCTGAAAGGTGGAAAATGGTGGTGAGCGGAGATACAAGTTCTGAGAGCTGAAGAGGAAACAGACATGAGAGCCAAGTGGTAAATGCTGATGCTTTAAAATATATAACAGAACGCCTTCAGACTGCAACGAAGCCTATGTCTATGAATCCAGAGCTCTACCAAGGACTTGATCTAAATTAAATTCTCTCCCCCAAATTCACATGAAGTATTGACATACCTCCTTTCAAAGGAATCATAAGGGTCTATAAGTGTTTCAATGGGCCTAAAGAATAGAAAAAAGTACCAAAAGATTCTCTTAAGACTTCCCTGAGGGAGTTTGGCCACTTTGAAAGGTGGGGTGTGGTGGTGGTGGTGGTGGTAAGAAATGCAGCAAATAACTCTGAATCCCACACTTGGGCATGAACTCCAAACATTAGCATTCATGTAAATCCAGTGGTGGTAAGAAATGCAGCAAATAACTTTCTGAATCCCACACTTAGGCATGAACTCCAAACATTAGCATTCATGTAAATCCATACACACTTCTCAATTCTGGCTGAAACTGTCCTGACCAAGCAAGCACCTGTGCTGCAACTTAAGAGAATATGTCAAACGTGTCTTTTGTCCAAACCCCAGGTCCCCGCTTATCCCCACTCACTTACCTGGGGCACTGCACTGCTACCAAAAATCCCTTTGAGAATGGCCAGGCATCGGCCAACGATCACATCATCACTTATGTTTTCCATGATGCCAGCAGCTTCTCCTGCCACTAGTGCCAATAGTATTGGAGCTAGGGAAACAGAAAGGACAATTCCAGGGTTTTCCTACAAACTTTTCTCAAGAACCTCCTTAATGGGCCCATTATTCTTGGTGCTCTGAAATCTGACAACCAATAGACATGCACCACTCAGCTAGAGACAAGTTGTTTCTGAAAAGGTAACTTGAAATCTACCCCCAGAAGGGAGCTGGCAAACTACAGTGGTGACTCGTGTACTTCACTGTTTATAACTGCAGATATCATTTCAGACCTTGTTAACAAAAGAAAACAAGTATCCCTGTGTTGAGACCAAGAATTCTTAGCCCTGACCACTGGGGACAGCTCTGCAAGGGTCACCCTTTCAGCTATCCCAGGTCCCTCCAAGCCCATCACCACCTTTACTCATCTATTTGGTGACTATGCAGCAGACTTAAGGGATAAACACAGTAGTCGATGCTGGGGATATAAAAACAATAATTGACTACTCCACAGACAGACAGATATCACAGATATATAATTATGAACTGTGATAGAAGCTACTGAAGAAAAACAGGACACAGAGGATTGAGATCTGAAGCAGTGGAGGTATGTGTATCTTGGGAGTCCTCTTTGAAATAGTGACATTTAGGTGAAGACCTAAAGGCTGGGCAGAGTAAGCCATGTTGGGAAGGAAGAGAAGAAGAAAAATGAAAGCACCCAGGAACAGTATTTCGGGGCAGAGGCCCTGAAGTGGAAAACAGCAAGGTGCAATCCAGGATTCCAGAAGAGCAGCAAGGGTTCCTGGAGCCCAGAGAGTGGGGAGGGGTGAGGATGGGTTGGGAGGAATGAACAATGAGGAAGCTGAAGTAGAGAAGGGCTAGGTTATGCGGGCCTTCTTAGTAATGGCCAAGATAATGGAAAGCCCTCAAAAGATAGAAGCAGGGATAGCAGTTAGTGGCTACTGGCAAAACTAGAAAGCAGTTACCTTTAAAGAGGTTCCAGACCAGGAAAAGGTAAGAGGAGAGAGTGGCTTGGACTGGGGAGTGGGCAGTAGAAAAGAAGAAAAGCAAATGGGTCTGAGAGAGATGGTGAAGCGAGCACTGAGAGGACTCGACAGTCTGGATGGGGGAGGGAAAGAGCACTCAGCTGCTGTCAGAAAGCAATGTGCTCAGGGAACAAAGTGCCTCCTCGGGATTAGTGGCCCTGGCCACCTGGAGGTGTTTTAGAAGCAGGCAGTGAGGAGTGACGGAAAGAACTGGGGTGGGACTCAAACTGTTAACTGATGTATCTACACTGTCGAGGCCATGCCTACTGATACTGCTGCACAGTGTATGTCTTACATTCTTTTCCTGGAATGAGGTAGAGTCTAGATATACTTTCTTTTTAAAGCTCTGTATAGGAATAGGAGCAGTCCAAGTATGTACAGAAGAAAGTACAGCGGGAGGTAGGAGTTTCAAAAAGGGAAGTGATTAGAGATTCAGGGGTAAGTCAGACATGAAAGTGTGAGCATGAGGAATACAAATTTCCCTTCCAGGAAGCCTCCCAGGGCTCACCCTTGCTGGCAGGGCGGCCCCTTCCTTTTCTGCTTTCTTTTGCAGTCTCTGGGCTTTCACCCTGCCGTCTCCTTACCGCCCTGTTCTGAGGCTGCTTACCTCCTCATTCTATCTCCCACAAGTTAGTTGTGGGCTCCTTGAAGGCAGGGTTTTGTTTTTTTCCATATCCCTAGCATCTATAAGGGATTTCAGGAATTGCTTATAGGGTTAATGAAAAATCAAGACATATGTGTGTATATATATATTTGAGAAAAACTAGAATATTCCTAATTCTGTATTCCTTTAAGGATATGAGAAAGATCAAAACTAGAAAGCAGTTACCTTTGTAGAGGTTCCAGAAGAGGAAGAGCTCACCCCTGCTAGCAGTCGTGCTGCCGACATGCCCGAACAAATTGACACTTGGATCCCAGAACACCCGGTCAAAACACAACACCACCTTTCACAAAAAAGAAACATATTAGCTGGCAGCGGGGCTCTGAGAATATGGCTTTAAGCACAGCTATGCCTCAAAAGAAAGTACTTCTTCTTAAGACATTATTTAAATTTCTTCTAATCTACTCTTTTTTTTTTCTTAAATAATTTAAAAAATATTTTTACTAATTTCATAGAGGAAGGGAGAGGGGGAAAGAGAGAAAAAAAAACCATCAATGATGAGACACTCATCAATGGGCTGCATTCTGCACGCTCCACACTGGGGATTGAACCTGCAACCTAACCATGTGCCCTGATCAGGAATCGAGCTGTGACCTCCTGGTTCATAGGTCGATGCTCAACCACTGAGCCACGCCGGCCAGGCTAATATACTCTTACTATAAGCCTAGAAATCCTTATTACAGATTTATTACTTAGGATGACATTTAGGACTCTCCTTTTATATATAGGCTTGGGTTTGTGAAGTGACCTCAGAAGACTAAGTTCTCAAGGATACTTTATGCATAATTAGGCAATAAAGTGAATGAATGGACAGGACTCACCCTATATCAGAATTGAAAGCACAGCAAGATGTATACAAATGCAAACCCCTCTCCTGTCCCAGTGGAGGGCAGCTAGACTGGTACTTGTACAGTGGGCACGAGAGAGGTGTGGAGGGCAGGTTACCTTGTTAAGGTTGCCAAATCCCATCCTTTGAACTGCAGATGTTTTCCACTCGGGAAGAGGCGGCACAAACTGGACAGCTGGTGGCTGCTGCTTCAACACACCCAAAGGGAGGGTACAGAGAACCGCATCACATTTATAAATAAAGGTCTGGCTGGTGGAGCGGGTATTCACAGCTATCACTTCACATCCTATCGGGGTTTGAGGGAAAAGACTGCTGGTGAGGAGGGTGGTATTGATGAGGGTATGAACATTTAGTGTACAGCAGGCTCTATATGCCATCCCAGTTAATTCTTCACACAAGTCTATGGAGTCGGTTCTATCCACTATTTATAGAAGGCAACTGAAGCAGAAGTGAAATAACACAGGTAATAAGTGCCAGGATTCAAATCCTAATGCTCAGAGTCCTCTGATCTTCACCATTGTACTATCTTACCTGCCTGATACAGAGATCTTCTGGACTAATAAAAGGACCTGATAACTTAATAAAGTTAAGTAAATTTAGACCAAAATTCAGAGTAAAATGTCTGTCCCAAGAGAACCAATAACTCCTCACCGTGGGTAGGTGCTCGTGCATAGGGACAAAGAGAAGAATGATAGCAGAAGCTTGCGGTACAGACCCAAGGGATGCAGCTCAGAACCGTGGAGCTCACTATTCGAGAATGCACTATGATGCTTAGCTTGCCAGAACATGAATGAGCTCAAAGTTGGCCACAGAAAAGGCACTGAAAGTAGGTTAATCTTATTTATTCTCGTGTGAGCTTGATGTTTTTCTTCATTGAATGCTTCAAAACTATACATAAATAGTTCAAATAAGTATGAGATCTCATTACATGTCCATTTTCTTTCTTTTTTTTAAATCCTCACCTGAGGACTTTTGTTTTAAAGAAAGAGGAAGGAAGTGGGGAGGAAGAGAGGAGAAGGGAGCAGAAGAGAAACATCAACCGGTTGCCTCCTGTAAGCATCCTAACCAGGGACTGAACCCACCACAACCTAGGTATGTGCCCTGACTGGGAATCGGACCCACAACCTTGATGCTCCAACCCACTGAGCCACCCAGCCAGGGCCATGCCCATTTTCTGTGGTCACAGAACTAGAGAAAATGACAGAAAAGCTATTCTCAACTATTCTTCATCTGCAGCGCAAATGAAGTGGTATATCTTTTCAACATCATCAGCTAGAAGCTGCCTCTGAAGGGGAAATTTAAATGGAAAATGGTTTCAGCAATTATAAAAAAAATATTTGTGGTGGTCTTAAAAACTCTAGAAAAAGGGGCCATGGAGGGCAAGATTAGTGGCCACATTTCCATTTGTGGCTAGTCACTCAGGGAGGGGAGTGACTAGTTACCATAAGGAGATCAAGATTACTAATTCCAAAGGTGGGTGGACAACGGATTCTCTGCACTCCATATTAAACGTACCTGAAACTAGCAATAATGAGCATTGAGCCTACTGTCACAGTAATCAGGGCAATCAGAAGTCAACTTATTAGCAGGACTGCTCCCAGAACCAGAAAGCAGCCTGAGCCATTAGCCCACCAAAGTAGGAAAAGCCAGAATGGATCCAAAGACCCTGTTGCAAGATGGTGAAATACAGGGTGGGTTCCACTGGAGACTAGGGGCCCAAGTTCTGGCTTTAAGAATATACTTAGCAAAATTAAAGCCAAACTTACTGGCTGTTATTATAATATCAACTAATTCATGCACAATTTGTAAACTAAAACTTGCCTCAATTTTCTGGTTTATACAATGATGGGGTTATAATCTCCAAAGGCTCTATGGGCTCAATCCTTTTGTAAATGCAAATTTTAAAATTTAGGAGACATAGTTTATAAGACATTCTATCAGGAAATGACCTAATACTTTTCCTATAGTTCAAACTCAAAAGATCAGTATCGTGTACTCTCTCACCAGTAAAGCAACAACATACCTGAAGCTGTGTAGCGAACCTGCCGAACTGCTGTATTCAATTTAATATCTAGGCCTTCTGCTAACGCCACAGGCACACATGAGTAGCCATTCCTCACTGTTAGGTGGCTGCCAGTAAACTCAAAGTCATCATCCTAAAGAGGAGAGAAAAGGACATATTTTCACACTTTTAAAATCTAATTTATGCTATTTATAATGAGTTCTGTAAAATAAGGCTAAAAACACCAACTTGTGGAAACTGTCAATATAACACAGAAATTAAAAACAATCACTCCAGCCCAGCCAGTGTGGCTTAATGGATGAATGTTGACCTATGAACCAGGAAGTCATGGCTCGATTCCCGGTCAGGGCATGTACTGCCCGGGTTGCGGGCTCAGTCCCTAGTGAGACGGCTTGCAGGGGGTGACCAATTGATGGTTCTCTCTCATCACTGATGTTTCTTTCTCTCCCTCTCCCTTCATCTCTGAAATCGATAAAAATCTGTTTCTTTGTTTTTAAAAAACCAATTACTCCATATTCAACTACAGCTGCCCCAGAAAACTGAAGGGAAAAGAAAAAAATGCCCAAATGTCCATAATGGCTACCTTTGGGCAGTGAAAGTAGGGCAGTTTCTTTTTCCCTAGATAGAGGTGTTTTGTTTGTTTGTTTGTTTTTAATGTTTTTATTGATTTGAGAGAGAGGAAGAGAGAGAGAGATAGAAACATCAATGAGAGAGAACCACTGATTGGCTGCCTCCTGCACACCCCCTACTAGGGGTCAACCCCCTAATCCAGGCATGTGCCCTGACTGGGATTTGAACCATTGGTGCATGGGTCTATACTCAAACACTGAGCCACAACGGCTGGGCTAGATAGAGGTTTTATCATCAAGTCTAGACTATTCATGGGGGTGGGAGAGGGAAGAAAGCTGATTCAGTAAATTCAGACAATTAGGTATCTTTTTTGTTTGGTTTTTTAATGTATTACAGACTTGGTAGGATATCAGATTTCACCATCCTAATTACGTTTTCTTTTACCCAAGAGCAAAATCCATTTTTATTCCTTAAACTTACATGTTTTAAAGTTAAGGAAGAGTTCCTAAACTAAAGTCAGATGAAGGCAATCTAGGATTGTAAAGATTGGCCCAAGATAATTTATATAGTAAAGAAGTCAAGATTTGGCCTGGAAGAATTACCCAAATTATCTCATTTCTCTGAATTTACTAAAAAATTTTCTATGTAGAGAAACTTTCAAAGGCTAGTCAGTATTTCTGATTTCATGAGATTCCCGGGGAAAACATACCACAATTCTTAGGAATTAGATAAAAATACTGGGTTGGCAGCAAAACTACTAAATGACTGACTCATCTCCTCTATGGATCAGTTCAAATCACCCACATTTAAAAACTTAATACAATTACAAATAGATACATACTGAAACTCCAAATGATAAATGAGTTATTAGGAAGGTCTAATTTAGTCTTTACATGAAAAACCACAAAGAAACTGGGAATTTTGCAAGATTTTTACCATTAGCAAGTTCAATCCTCACTGTAATTCAAGTACTAAAGAATACCAAGATATAATCTAAAGATTAAGAAGTCAAAATAATCTTTCTAGGAAAATGTATAATGAAAATATGTAATAAAAGTGTAATATTTACTTCTACACAGTCTTAAGTCGGGCCAAAGTCTCAGACTTAGAGATTGGTCCATTCAGCATCTAAGAAGCCCTGTGACTTCTCACCAATTCAAGAGTAAATCACCATTATAATACTTAAGAATAACATGACAAAATATTATATCATGCTCAAGGATTAGAAGTCAATAGGAAGATGATGATCACTCTAAATTAGATCTATAGATTCAATGCAATCCCAAACTGCCAGAATTTTTTAATAGAAATTGATAAACTGATTCTAAAATGTTTATGGAAATACAGACCCAAAATGGCCAAAAACAATTTTAAAAAAGAACAAAGCTGGAGAACTTACATAACCTGATTTCAAGACATAGAGCAACCATACTCAAGACGGTGTGATATGGATAGACAGATAAACGAACAGACTCACACATGGTCAACTGATTTCAACAAAGGTGCCAAGACAAATGAAGAAAAAAGACAGTGCTAGAATAATTAATTAGATAACCATATGGAAAAATATGAGCTGTAACCTCACCTCTCACTATGCACAAAAATGAACTCAAAATGGATCATAGACCTAACATGAAACTTTATGGAGAAAATTTTTGCGATCTTCGTTTAGACAAAAAATGTTCAGGATTTACAAAACACACACAGTCTGAAAGTTAATAAAATAGGACACTCATAAAATTTAAAACTTTTGCTCTTTTAAAGATACCATTTATAAAATAAGAAGGCAAGCTTGCTGCAGATTTGTAGAAAATACTTCCAAAACATAAATCTGACAAATTGTATCCAGAATTTAAAGAAAATGATGAACTCTCACAATTTAACAAGAAGACAATCAGATTTTTTAAATGAAAAGAAGATCTGAATAAACTTTTCATAAAAGAATTGACATACGAATGGCCCATAAGTATATGAAAAGATGCTTCAGATCACCAATCATCAGGGAAATAAAAATTAAAACAACAAACATTAGAATGGCTAAAAATTTTTAACCGACAGGACCAAGTGTTGGGGATGATATGGAGCAACTGGAACTTCCATACATTGCTGGTGTGAATGCAATTTGGAAAACAGTTTAGAAGTTTCTTATAAAGCTTTAAAAACCTACTTTCCATTAAGTTTCAGCAATTTCACTCTTATTAATCCAGGAGAAACACATGAATGTTCCTACCAGCTTCAATCATTTATAGCCAACATGGAAACCATCCACATGTCCATCAATGTACCAATGAAAGGACAATCTGTGGTATATCCATACAATGGAATACCACCAAACAATAACAAGGAACAAACCACTGATATACACAAAAACTTAGCTAAGTAAAAGAATTCACACACAAAAGGCTACATAGTGCATGACATTATACTGTATAGTTCAATTTACAGGTAATTATAGAAAAAGCAAACTTATAGTGACTAAGCAAATAGGTGGTTGCATAGGGCCAAGAGCAGGAGGGCTGGGGAGTAACTGCAAAGGGGCAAGAGAGAACTTTTAAGGATGGTGAAATGTTCTATTCTTGACTATGTACGTTTGGCAAAACCAAACTGCTCACTTAAAATAGTGAGTTTTGTATGTAAATTATCTTTCCTAATAAAGCTGTATAAAAACAAACAAATGAAAAGTTTCTTTTAAGAACCCTCTGCAAGACATGTGCAAAAAATAAACGATAAAGGAATTTTACCTGATCCCAATGCTTAAGGGAGAGTGTAGAAAGAGGTGTGGCATTAGCAAATTCAAGATTTGCAAAATGCCAATCAAGTATCTGTCTGTCTCTTGACGAGAGGTATACATCACTGCAAAATGAGAACAAAGGAGTACAAGGTTATTTTTTAAAAAATACATATTTTATTGATTTTTTACAGCAAGGAAGGGAGAGGGATAGAGAGTTAGAAACATCGATGAGAGAGGAACATCAATCAGCTGCCTCCTGCACACCCCCCACTGGGGATATGCCCGCAACCAAGGTACATGCCCTTGACTGGAATTGAACCCAGGACCCTTCAGTCTGCAGGCCGATGATCTATCCACTGAGCCAAACCGGTCAGGGCAGGAGTACAAGGTTATTAAAGGACTTTACTATTATGCTCAGTAGGTGGATGGGGATGATCTCAGTAACTGTGTGACAATCTAAACCTGGGACTGTACTTTATGTGAAAAAATTCTAAGTCAGAAAGTAGGACCTGAGCTGTCTTATTAACCCCTTTATTCCTGGTACCTGGAGCAGTGCCAACCCCACTACATAAAGCAAATTACAATTAGGCCTCATTTGCCTGGAAAAAAAAGAAAAAAGAAAAGAAAAAGTCTTCTTTATATGGTTGCATTATAAAAGCATATTCGTTGTAAGAATTTGTTTTGTATTTTAAAGCATGGACTTTTTGGCAAGAATGGGTAGCACCCCTGGCTGCATAACAGAACAGATTCATGTGGAGACCAGGTGCAATATGGAGCACAGTATCAGCATGCAAGTATTCACTGTCAAAAGCCAATGGAAATAAAGTGTAATACTTTCCTACTCCCCAGAATTATGGGAATTTGAAGCAACACCACCTTCTATGCCACTCCAGGAAGACAATTTTCATTTACTACACTTTCATTCAAATACATATATCAGATTTTATTAAGGCTATCTTCAAAAACAATATATTTAAGTATCTAGGTCATTCTTACACATTAAAACACAAGACTAGGGGCCGTGGCCGGTTTGGCTCAGTGGATAGAGCATCCGCCTGTGAACTGAAGGGTCCCAGGTTCGATTCCAATCAAGGGCACATGCCTGGGTTGTGGGCTCGATCCCCGGTGCGGGGCTTGCAGGAGGCAGCCAATCAATCATTCTCTCTCATCACTGATGTTTCTCTCTCTCTCTCCCCCTCTTCCTTCCTCTCTGAAATCAATAAAGATATATTTAAAACACACACACACACACACACAAAAAAAACACCGTTAAGACTAGGGGATTTAGGAACCAGAGAAGCATAGCTGACCACTGAACAACTCTGGGTTAAGGGCACTGATCCCCACCCCCAAATTTCTGGGGATAGCTTTTGATTTTCCCAAAACTTAACTACCAATAGCCTACTGTTGACAGGAAGCTTCACTGATAAGATAATCAATTAACACATATTTGTATGTTATATGTATTATATGCTGTGTCCTTATAATAAAGTAAGCCAGAGAAAGGAAAATACGTGCATAAATTTTATGCAGTCATGACATATCTAACTTTTTCTAGATTTCTAGGCTATGCAGTTGTCTGCACATTTTTTCCAAATTGTTGTAAATCTCCAAAAAAATTTTCCAATGAATTATATACTGAAAAATGTCCACATGTAAGTGGACCCGAGCAGTTCAAACCTGTGTTTAAGGGTAAACAGTAGTCCACATGCACAGATAGCTTACATTTATTAAACAATTTACAATCCATTCACTTAACATAAATAAAACCATGGTGCTTTATAATTTTCCCTCTAAATCTAACAGAAAGAACAGTAAACCCTAGCCTTCTGAACGTCAGTGTTTTTTTTCCATACCTTGGGGGATTGGCTTCCAATTCTTGAAGTTTTTCTTCTAGTTTTCCTTGTGTTTCAGCTAACTCATCATATTCCTGATAGAATTTAAGAGAACCAGTTGATCTAAATGTGTCAGAGACCAACCTAGTTATTTATACCACAAAATGTAAGGCCTGAACCACATCCCTGGTCCAGGTCATATCCACAAGTGTCTCAGCTTAAGGCTGGGTCAGGGCTCGTTATTTTTGGAGACAAATTATAATGTGAGCCTGAAATTCAGATTGGAGATGGGAAGGTACAGCAACCACCACTTCCTGTGCACTTACCACATCCCCCAATAAGTGAGTTAGTATTAATACCATGTAACAGATGAGGGGATTAAGAAGCCCAAGGTCTCCTGGCTAGAAGATACTAAGTTATGGATTTCAACCAGATAATGTGACTCCAAATGACTCTGGAGTCCATGTTCATTATCATTATTCTAAACCGTCAGGGATAAACTATACCAAAGGGCCAAAATGAGATGTAAGTACACTAAAGGATGAGATTGTGAAAACAAAGTAGGAATTCTGCAGAAAAAGTAGATCTTAAACCAAACTAACCCATTAAGTCCCCAATGCTCCTGCGTACCAAATCCTCTTTGCACTACAGGTACCTGTGATTGGCTAGTGGATCTTTCCCAAGTTCCTCAGATCTACACTATTCTTAAGGATTCCAAATAAAACCAACTGGGCATGTATGTCCGTATACCACACCTTGCACAGGGCAGTCAGATCCCTGTGTTTGCTCTTCACCAAGAACTCAGCCGTGATATCTCTGGGTGGCTTGACTTCAGATGCTTCTTTGTATTGCTGATGGAGCTCTTTAATTTTCTCTTTCAAATTTACCATCTAAGAGGGAAAAATAAAAATTTACCATTCCAGATAGTGATGTCATTCATCTCCAAATCACATGCTTTGGTTCCTCCCCCTAAACTGCTATTATACCAAAACAGGTCCTTGGAATTCTTAAATGCCTCTTCTATATCATGATATTTTAGAACAGGAAAAAACCCCTATTAGGGCTCAACACAGAGATATCACATCACTGTAAGGTGAGACTGCTTCTGTCTTCCAGAACACATGGCAGAACTAGGAGTGTCCCATTAATTTAAAAAAAAATACTATATATACACACATGTGCAAATTAATTTAATTTCCAGGAAAAGCAAAGTACTATAATGTAACTTAAACTTGTTGTTTTTGGAAACCAATGGCCATGATTTGTTTTTTAAATATATAAAAGGTCAAGTTATCACGCAAAGCAACTGCTGGAACTATTCCCAGGATTGGTCTGGTCGGGTTTCTGAGGGTACCTCAGAGGCCTCGGGGGATGGTTAAAGCTTGAGATGAGGAACCCCACAGCTGGTTGTTCTCTGGCCACTCATCTCACTCCATCGTACCACAGTCCTGAGTAAGGAGTGCCAGAGACCTCTTCACTTGACAGGATGAAGAAGTGAGGCACCGTGAGAGTGAGGCAAGAGTCTAGTCACAAGATGCTCCCCGGTTTTGCATGACAACTCCCACAGGAGCTGTCCCACTTCACGTTTTCTCCCTAAGCCGGTATTATGTTTGCAGCTAGCAGGATGAGGAGAAACAAAGAGTTTCCTAGTCTGGAGGGTGGTGGCAAAGAGCCCTCAATAGATCTACTATTTGGCACAAGTGAAATAATTATGGCAAAGAATATGGTCTTGGTTGCTGACCTGTTGTCAACAGTGGGAATCTGACCTCGGGACAGCTGATTTCCCTCCCATCTAGAATTCAGCAGGGGGCACTGGGTCAGCTTTACAACAGCCAAAGGGACCTGACAGCAATTTACCAGTAAAGCTGCACTTTAGAGTGATAGATAAAACAGTGCCTTTTGCTAGTCATTTTTTCTTAAGAGTAATCAGTGAGTCCCAGTGCTTTTAAAATTTCTAGAAGGCTTTTTCTTTCCTACTAATGCACCTTCAGCTATGAAAAAAAAAATAAAACAGAATTTCACCTTATTAAGAAGCTCTTTCAATTCCTCCTGAGTTTTCACTATCTTCTTCCAATGTTCAATCTGCTCATCTTTAACATGCTTTTCTTGTAACCTAGGAGAGACAATTCGTATGCTCTGGTCACACAGCTTTGCAACGTAAGACTGGTATCCATCAAAAACATTTAAGAGCATCAAGGCCCACTGATATTTCTAATACTCTGAAACAAGAAAGTTGGCTGGGGACAAGTTATTTTCTAGGCTATGTTAAATACAGTTTAGTGCCATAAAAGTGAATTTTAGAATTTAGAAGGGTTTTACGTATCATGTAATTATTGGTTTTACTTTTAGAGTTAACTATCTGACATGAAAATAAGCAACAATTAGCTCAAATAAGACTTGATGGAAAACTTAAAACAAAAATAGCAAATCTCTAAACGGAAATCACTAGACAATGAGCAGTATTGAAGTACTTACTGAATAACAACTTCCAATGCCTGGCCAAGGGACACGGGCTTATTATTGAGGACATTGAAGTCTAGCTGATGACTAAGGTAAGATGTAGCTTCTAGCAACCGGTTAAACTCTTGTTCTACCATTTCATCTTTCTCTTTAGGAACCTGAAAATCCGAAGTATAGCAGAGTTGGTCCTTATAATACTAAACATAACCACCCATGAAAACACAAATGCTGTACAAATTAAAAGGTTTCTCAAAGGGGAAACCTTTGAGGACAATGATTTAAACTTTCTTTTCTATGAAGTGGTCAATTCTATTAAATGAGATATGAGATGTTCTTGGCACTGAGACTCTCCTATTCTCCCAATTTTGCCCCCCGAGCTGGGACTCTATCTCTATTAACAGCCCCAGGATTCACGCTGATGCGAACTGAAGTATGTGGAGCTAGCATGCACTGAGATAAGCTGGGCTGACATGCAAACAATAGCTAGAAAAGTCCCAGAGAACAAAACTGTGTCAACACACCTGAGGACCTTCCAGCAAAAGGGCAAGATGGACAAATAAGAAGCCCGAGGTACCTGCTTCCCCTCAAAGAAGAATTTAAGGTAGGAGTAGGAAAGAGAGAAGTGAAGTTCATTGCAATTAATAAGCTATTAATTTGCAGAGTGATAGTGTTTTAAGGCACCAATTAAGTTCCGAGTTGAATGTCCAAAGCTCAGATTATGAGTGACCAAGGTACCAGGTCTGGCTCGCTGTGGTGGAGGAAGGGAACAGACTGCAGAGCAGATCATCAAGCTGCAAGACCATGCTCCCAGGCCCTGCCAGCAGTCAGTGGACACACATACCTCTGTGACTACTACTTAATTCAGCCCCAAAGTAGACTATCTGCAATTCTATTGCTGATTTCATGACAGCAGCGAGAGAAAAGGCACATCTAATGCAAGCATCTCTTGCCATAATAAGCGGGGCATCAACTGGGAAGTGGGATTTAAAATATGAATTTCACTTTACAGCCAACCTAAAACTGGTAACAAGAAAACAAATATTAAAGGTCTAAGGAACACGAAGGCAGAGGAGAAGTGATCTTTTACAACCAGAGATAACTGATTGTGGACAAGATCATCACAGTAAGACTCTACCTCTTGTTTGAAACTCCTTAGTGTTTGCCCTTCCCAATTAAACAGATGATTTTGAAGTACAGGCCTCTGCCCCTTCACTGATAAGTCACCCAAATAACTCCCTATGAGCCAGGGGGTGGCAAAAAGAATGTGGCAAGAAATACAATCTGCACCAAAAAAAGAAAAAAGGGAAAAGGACTGCAACTGTCCTTGGAAACTGTAACTATGACAGACACCATAAGTGATTCAATCAAAAGCATGTTTTAAGCATCAAGTTCCAAAAGACCGCACTGAAGAGATCAAGAAATCTCTATGAATTTGAGAGTCCTCATTAGCCTAAGAAATGTCAACCCCGAGAATCTTCTGGTTTATACTGAGAAATAAGGCAGAGAATCGGGCTTTGGATACTTGGTGCCATTATATAGCAGGGTGGTACCTAGGATTCAGACACAGCTGACCTCCTATTCAACTCCAGGTCCAAAGAAAGGAGCTCTTGGTGACAGCCCTACTTGTTCTGATTACATGGTTATCAGAGCTAATGGAGGAGACCATTTTGTCAGGAATTTCATTTACTTTCTCATTAGTTATTTTTCCTCACTAATGTGATGGTCATACTAGTATACAGAGCAGCTCAAAGCAATGCTGAAATTTTGCTCAGTGTAATTCATGCAATGATGCTACAAAATATGGTTCTAGAAACTCTAAATTTGGTGCACCTTTAAAAAAGAAAACAATTACATTTTCAACTGATATCTACAGCTATGAAATCTTAACAGATTATAGATGCAATGTGTAAGGCTGCTTTTCCCAGAGTAGAAAAGGGTGATATTTCTGTGTGGCTTCTATATTGTCTAGTAAGGGGATGCTGTAGCAGCAAGAGGGATCAGATCACATACGCCTCTGCAACAGGGCAGAATGTGGCGATACACAAGTGTGCAAATGGTGCAGATTAAAGCTCTTCCAGTGTCGACTGGATGGCTTGCTTCAGACAAGCTTTAATCTTTGCAGCGAGGCTGACAGTCACACAGGGAAGTTCATACTGAAAAATGCGCAGCACTCAGGCTCAGTAATTGGGGTCCAGGGTGTGTGGTAGAGAAATACTTAAAGGGACACTGTCAAGGTTAAAGGGACCAAATTTGACCTTTTGTTTCTTCCCTCTTTGCTAAGCAGCCCTCTTGATTCATTACACTTTCCCCTTTAGTCCACCCACACCCCCCACAAAAAAACCTGACTTTTTACATGCGCTTTCAATGACAAAAACTCAAATGGCAACAGCCCGACACACAGGCGCAAATCTACAACAACAAACCAGTGTGAATGTATGATGGAGAGGACCTTTGGAAGGGAAAGATTTAAGTTTCAAGCTTTTAATGGGTTATTGTAAACAGTGAGGAAAATGATTTGAAAAATTATGAAAAAAAATACCTTGACAGTGTCCTTTTAACCAGTGCAGCAGAGAGAGAAATAAACTGTAAATAACAGCCCAATAGCCACGTCAAGTTTCATCTTTACGACAGCAGTAAAATCAAGGCTTTAAACACACAGCATGACAAAAGCATTCTGTTAGCTCAGAAGCTGCAACCACCAGAGAAATAAGGGACAGACTGTACAGAGACCAAAATGTGAAAGTCAAGGCATTGAAATGGACAAAAGAAAGCCAGTGTGGAGAGGACGGTGGTGGTAAAGGGAGATGGCATCAGAAAGCAGTGAGGAATAAAGCAAATGTAATAAAAGAGAAAAAGAAACACAGAACAGTAACAAGAACAACAGACAAACAAAAACCAAACCAAAGGTCACGGCCACGTGTGACTGACGTCGGGACGACATGTCTGATCTCCGGTACACCGTCTGCCTCGAGGCTCCACTGAGGAGACTCCAAGGAACAGCCAGCAGTCAGGCCCCAGCCCGTTTCTGCCTGAACAGTTATGGGAGTGTTGCCAGTGAGACCAGGGATAGCTTTGAAACTGGAATGTTTTTCCATTAACTTTAAAATTCCACTTTGAAATTAAAGGAATATTTGAAAAATAGTAAATAAAATACTTGTCCATTAATCAATACTGACTGGGTGAAAATCAAAAAGTGTTGTTGATATATTTAAATTTTGAATCTATTTCTAAAATTAAGCTAGTTTAGATATGCACTACTTGACATAGCCAGACAATGAAAAGAACTTTTGCAAATGACGACCTTTAAGCACCCCCTAAATACCTGCTCCCCTTGGTGAGAATTGTTGGACTATCTTAGTTTCATAAATTATTGTGGAGCACAAAATGCAATAATTTTGGTTTTACCTGACCATTCTATTCTATGTTCTTAAATTGCACCTTGAGAAAGAACTCAGCAAATGATTGCAAAGAGTTAGGCTTTGTGTTAGTTAGTGGCTGGATTTCTATGTTACAACACAGCAAGAACATGTTAACCAAACTAAAAAGCAAGCAGTTTTTTCTGAAAGAACCTTTGATATAGTTTTCTAGTAAAGAATTAAACAAAAAAGATATCATTTGAAACAGATTTTGATAGGACTTGTCAAAGCCATTTATTTCCCTATGAAAAGCTCCAGATAAACAGTTTCTTCAAGACTAGGAACATTGGGTCAGTCTCATTGCTCTAAATAAGTACAATTCTGATTGTTTTGGTCCTGCAGATTATATGGAACATTCCTGAATATGGCCGAGGGAGGGACAGCCTATGCATCTAGCCCATGCAGAATAAATTTAGGGAGAGCCAAGCAACTTTCTGGACAATGTCCCTGATCCTGCAAGAAGTTATCTCAAAAAAAGGACACTCTGCTTAGTTCAACCTCTGGTTGCATTCTACCATCACAAACTCTTCAGGTCTATAAAAACATGATCTCATTCCAGTCTGCAGAAGTTCTGAAGCAGCAGAGCAGATTGCATTGACTGCATGCAGCTTGGGTTCTGGGTACAGGAAGTTCTGAGATTTAGCCAGAGACTGCATTGACTGCAGCTTGGTTCTGGGTACAGGAAGTTCTGAGATTTAGCCAGAGAAATCCTTAAAAAGAGTAACATACTGAAAAAAGTTGTAATGGCCAAATCTGGCCAACTGAGGCCATAGTCAATCTCCACCTCCATGCACTTCTAGAATTATAATAAGACAAAGATTTAGATTGGTTCTTTTGGTAAAACCTAGAAGAAGAAATTTACATCTGAACAGACTCTAATTCAGGTTCCCCAATAGCTAAGGAAAACGAGATATAGCTATTATTCCTAAAGGGAGAATAAGGACAAGTATATCCTTAATCCAAAACTTTAATGTAATTCTATAAATGAAGGCTGTTATCTTTAAACTCACAGGGATTTTTTTTAGATTATGCAAATATTGGACTTCCCTAAAGCAGTGACTAGGCCATGTGGAGAAGGTATCCACAACGTGTCTAAGGGCTACCCTAGCAATTATAGCATGCAGTAGAGGCGCTCAGGAAAGTCCTATTAAATGAATAAATTAACATAGTTTGGAAAAGCAAAGTCAGTATTATAACTATATTTTAGGGGAAAATACCTATTTTTCAACTTTAGGAACATTAAAGGAAGGCAGGAGATTTTTACATTTATAAAAAGCAGGGATTGGCAGTCATGATTTTAAAGGATAGAAAAAGAATACCTAAGACACCAAAAATGTTTCCACAAAGAAAGATGAAAACTGAAAAGGCCAACAGGCCTGTGTCAAAAGTATAATCATCTAAGCACCACTCTATATGAACACAAGTGAAAACTGGCTACCTTATGGTAGGTACTGAGTACATCCAGTTAATGGTTTTTGTAAAAGACCGACACTTATTATCTTTCTAGTATTCTCTTTCTTCTTGTAACAGTTGAGCCATTCAAGAAAACCAGTGCATCTGTTTTTCCAAGTAGTTTCTGAGTCTTTGGATCTCAACTTGGCAACAACTCTAACTCTGTTCCATTGTGATGCAGAATGTTACATCACTGCAGGAATTTGATTAAGATACCTTTTCATTACTCAAAAGAAGCCAAAACAAAACTAGAATCTAAAGCTCCCGAGTTACCGGCTGGTGTACAGGAGATGCAGAAAACATTCAGTCATTTCCCGTCTCCCCCAACAATCCATGTTTGTGTGGTGGTTGTTTTTTTGTTAATCCTCACCCGAGGATATTTTTCCCCATGGATTTTTAGAGAGAGTGAAAGGGAGGGAGAGAGAAACATCTATGTGAGAGAGACACATTGATTAGTTGTCTTCCATACACACCCCAACAAAGGCCGGGGATCAAACCTGCAACCCAGATATATGTCAGGAATCGAACCTGAGACCGTTTGGTGCGTAATCACACTGGCCAGGGCAACAATCATGTTTTGAGTCCCTTCACTTGTGACTCTCCAAACGTTCCTGAATTATTACCCTATTTCCCAACCTTGTCCACATCCACTTAAAGCTGATTAAAGTATACTAGTATAGCAGTTCAGAGTATAATTCCATCATCAGTCGATCTGAGGGCAGCTGCTAAAAGACACTTCTATTTACAGGGTACAGTATTTTGTGTTAGAACCCCTGTCTAGTGCCCAGACTTAGGTAATGACCTCAGGCAAACACATTTTGAGCTTTAGATTCTTCCCCTGAAAAATGGGAGAACGAAGCAACTCACCTACTGACTCCTTAGATTTCTAAAGCCATGAAGCATAACTGTAATTATCAGCATAAATTAATGGAGCTATAAGCTCTTAGCACTTGTCCTATAAACTAAAAATCAGTCTTCTTGTCAACAGTTGTCCATTCATACTCAGAGCCAGACTACTGGGAACAGTAAGATACAGAAACATTAACATCCCTTCTTAGGTTTACCTAACTACCTTAAGGCTAGTGGAACTCAACGTTGCAAATAACTTTTCCCCAAATTTGAGAATGCTTAATCAATCCCCCTTACTACTTGGCTACTGCACCAAATAGAAATATACCAACTTAGAAAAATCCTATAAAGATCAGAGTTGAATGACAACTATAAATTTCACTTGAAAAAATAGCATGCTGAAAACCACATACCTGCTTAACAGTTGTATACTACAGTGCTACTCAAAGGGCTGATCCTGGTGAGCCCACAACCCAGATATGTGCCCTTGACCAGCCATCGAACCTGAGACCCTTTGGTGTGTGATCACGCCAGCCAGGGCAACAATCATTTTGAGTCCCCTCACTAGGAGTTTATGCCAGAACCTAAATTAACACATTGCTTCCTTCAATGAGAAAGTCTTGCTACCAAAAAAAAGTCATCATCTGAACTAACAGCGTCGTTAATAATGTCGTTTATTTATATTCTGGAGTCAGCTATTTACCTTAACCCATAGTAGTAACCAACAGTTCGTTCATGGATGGGCATTATAGGCCACACTTGAGAGATATACTATTTAGAAAAAATTTTTTAAGATACATTAAAGCTCATATAATTCTCTGGATATCTCTACCAAAATAAAACTTTCCTTTTACTGTTACACTACATGAAGCTAAGTGCTCTACATTCAGGAAAATCTAAGGAAAAAGGCAGTCTCAATAATCAGTGAGCATCTCTGGTTTTGATCCCATTACTTCTTGAGGCCTAATGTAATCCACTTTAGAGGCCTGGCTTCCTCAATTCAATTCTCTAAACCACTGCTTGTCTACCCAAAACACTGCTCTGTTCATATTACTTCCCCTACTCTAAACCTTGTGAAGTCCCAACCAACAAATCAGCCTAGTAAGCCACAGCCTTCCCCATAAACGTAGGCTTTACATAACATCAGTCCCTCACCAGCATAATCCTATCATCTTTCAGAAACTTCTCTTAGACAAATTTAGTTCTGCCTTCAATGCCTTTCCCTCCACAACCATGTTAAAGTCCTAAGCCACCTTCACAAATGCTCCTTCCCTCTAATCTCTCCCCGCCCTTGCCCCTCCCACCTCAACAGACTCTCTCCTTGGCTCTTCAGTAGCAACTTATTCTTCTACCTAACTCTTGGCAAATCTGCCTGTTTTTCGTCTTGTTGGAATGGGCATGAGTAATATGATTAAGGGGGGAAATCACTTTGATTTTAATGACAGCTATTACTGCCGATGCTCTCAAGTTCATATAAGACATCTGGAGTCACTAGAAGTTAGGCCCCTTGAAGGCAAAGAAAACATCTTCAGTGCTTAAGACAGGGCCTAGATTTTGGCAAATGTTCAATAAATACTTGACTAACTGTGATATGCTTACTCCAGACAAAAGAGGGGGCTGGACAGATAAAACAAGATTGTGGAGTGGAAAAATAGAAGTCTATTATCGCACTCTTTCTACTTTTGTATATGTTTGAAAATTTCCATAATAAAAAGTTGGGAAATAATTATTTGTGTTCAAGTCCCACTCCACTGTGGCATCTTACATAGCAGGGAATGTCTTATTCAACTCTATATCCCTTTATATATCTTTGCAGAATAGTAAAAGTTTATTAAATTGTTGCACTAACTTCTCCTTCATCCTTTTAATCTAATTCTATTTTGCTAATTCTGCCAGAATGGTGGAGATGGGAACTAAGGCATTCCCTGAAAGTCTGTCCTTCTCTAATAAGAATGCCATAAAGCTTAAAGGTTTAGAGAAATGGCTTAGAATGTCCCATGGGATCTAAAGTTGGGATCTTACCACTTCTAATAACAAAAGCTAAACTGCCATATATATATATATATATGTGTGTGTGTGTGTGTGTGTGTGTTTTGCTATATATATATAGCAAAACTTCCCTTCCTCAGAATTGTAGACACCATTGCTCCTGATAGGGGAGCTGGTAAACTTCTGCTGAATATAAACTTTTGAATTTCACTCACTCCTAAAATTTAGGATTGACTTACATAGTCTAAGCTAAAATGTCAAACTCACGGCCCACAACGAATATTTTTGCAGCCCAGCCAATATAACAGTATGTAAGAAACGTTATAATAAAAATTTCGTAACTTAATTTTTACAATATCCTGTTATACATAATTATTAATAACGAACTAGAACGTTCGCTAATGACTGATTACTATAATTGTGTTGCATTCATTTCCCTTATGTGCCTTTCGCGCAGGCGCACCATTTCTCTCCACTAATACTAGCAGCGAATATTTTAGCAGCCGATTGCCACGTCATTAATCTTGGACTGATTGGTTTGGTGTGCGCAACAGAAAATATTTCACTTTCGGAGAACAAGAAAAATAGGTTTATTTGTGTTATGCTTATTAATTTGTGCAGTTATTCAGTGTCTGGTAAGTTAATGTTCAAGAAAAAATATTAATTTTTATTAAAATGTTCTATTATTTTATGTTTTATTTGTGTTATGCTTATTAATTTGTGCAGTTATTCAGTGTCTGGTAAGTTAATGTTCAAGAAAAAATATTAATTTTTATTAAAATGTTCTATTATTTTATGTTAATGATTACTCATTTATTTCAGTCCTTTGTATTCAGCATGTCTCTATCGAAATAAACCTACGTTTCTATGAAAATTGAAGCTTTTGTTTTTTGCGGCCCACATAAACTTAAACCTTGTTTAGCTGGCCCATGTTAGCCTTTGAGTTTAACATGCTTGGTCTAAGCCTATCATATAGTTGTTACTGTCACTCTCCCATACTGAACACCACTTCCATTCTACTGCCATACTAAGTATAGGAAGTTCCTATGCATCTGGGTCAACAATTACCTACATAAGCATTGGCTAAGTACCACAATTTGGCTATTAGCCCGTTAAAAACTTAAGTCTACAAACACAAAACTGAAGTCATAAAGAGCACATGGAGCTAAAGCAAATGATGGGATGCACAATACAAAGAAAGGAAGAATCAGGTGTCAATTACATAGGTCTCTTGGAGTAGGTGGCCACAACTAAATAAAAAGACTAACTAGCTAGCCTTCACTAAATGTCTAAAGATAAATGCTTAAACTGGCACATATATATGCATATATGCAATAATAATCCCTTCCTAATAAAGCTTAGAATTAAGGAACAATCAGAAAACGTTATACAATTTCTGCCCTCAGTTGATATGTATATGTGTATATATTCACTCAGACATTATCCCTGAAAATGTTTTCAAGTGAGCCAAAGAAATTTTGAAAAGTTCTGTTTGTCTTCCACTTACAGCTTGTCCATTGGCTTCATAAAGTGGGCATTTTTGCTTGATCTTGGCCAGTTCCATATTTACTTGTTTGCTGACCACAGCCATGGGATTCCCTCCTAGGAAAAACTCAAATGATTAAATTCAACATACCTATGAAAAGAAAACAAAAACCTCAAAGCAAAAATATTTTTACTAAATTTAAAATACCTAAACTTGTATATTTTATTTACATATATATATCCACAAGTAAAACAAATGTGTAAGATAAGCATAAAGAAGAAAGCAAAAAAATTACCTATAGTCCCAGTTAGTTAACACTAGAATCTTCTAGATTTTATGTGCATAAAATTAGACATACACACACAAAAGGATCATACATAACACATGTATTTTGTTTTGTTTTGTAATCTTTTTACAACTTAGCATATATTGTGGACATCCTTTCATGTTAATATGGAGTTACATAACTTTTAGTGGCTGAATAGTTCTCATGTGTAACAATTTCATCTTCTAATCTGAGGTTTCTAATGTTCTGCTGTGCCACATTAAAAATGCTCCAAACATAAGATAGTCCACTTGTTTATTGTCTTAGGATAATTTCCCAGAGCTGGATCTGCTAGGTCCAAATGTCTGTACAGTTTAAATTTTGCACACAGTCATATATTCTTTCAGGAAGCCTATGTGTCAGTTTACCTCTCACTAATACTAAGAATAGTATCCTAAAGTCAATATATTTTAAAATTGCATCTATAGCTTTAAAATATAAGCTTACCAGTAAACAACCTTATGGACCTCAGAAGTGTATTTTAGCACAAAACTACTTACCAAGACCTGTTACTACCATGGCTCCAAGATCAGCTACATAGTTTCCTTTGCGAAATGTGGCAACTCGTCCACCTACACGATCCTGTTTTTCAGAAATTAAATGGCTAAAATCACCAATTCTATTTTAACCATAAGAACCGGGCATGGTATGCCCCAGTCCTCTGTCTTCTTATAATTTAAAATGAAAGGTGTAATTTAGAGTTTAAATGGAATGCAATAAACAGTACAGTGGCACAAAGAGCAAATGGAGTTTAAATGGGAGAGGTAGGTAACGAATGACATACAGAAAGGTATGGAATTACGATGTGAAATAGGAAAAACAATTTGGTAGTCAGAAGACAAGTTTAGTAATAGGTACTGCTGTCTCTCTATCCAGCTGTCTCTAATACCACTAATGAATAGGCTAAGCAAGGGTCACACGCATAGAAAATATGTATTAAGAAATTCCAACTAAACACCATCTTTCTACCACTGATTTCCTACTACTGCCCTCCAGTGCCCAAAGTCAGCTTTGAATGAGGTGATAGATGATTTCTTTGATAAATGGTTCTCCAGAACAGGTCCATGCCTGGGGCAGTGTCTAATGAGCGTGAACTATTAACAATACCTCTCATTCCTAAATAGGCACAGGCTTATCTCTGCTGACTAGGGCCTTTCAAGTATGGGACAACCTTACTGAGCTGCAGGGATATTTCAATTATGGATAAATACAGACATGCAAACTCCAAGCAAACAAAACAAAAACCTATAAACTGGATTAAAACTCCACTTGGGTAGGAATCATAATGATTCTATCATTCCTTACTGTATTTTTAGTGCACAGGACACAGAGGACACAAAACTATTTTCTTAGTTAATGAATAAAATATTTTTAGTAAGACTGTATCAGAAATTATTTACTTTTGATTTCCCCATATTTGAAAAGACTATTTTTTAAAAATTATTAATTTAGCCCAGCCCAGTGTGGCTCAGTGGTTGAGCGTCAACCCATGAACCAGGTCACTGTTTGATTCCCGATCAGGGCACATGGCCAGGTTGCAGGCTCCATCCCCAGAAGAGGGTGTGCAGGAGGCAGCCAATCAATTCTCTCTCATCATTGATGTTTCTCTCTCTCTCTCCCTCCCTCTTCCTTTCTCTGAAATAAATAAAAACATATTTTAAAAAATAAGTAAATAAATTAGCAATTTATAAATAGCAATTTGGATCGTACTACAGATTTTATAAAATTTTAGGTTGTTTAGGTTACCCTGAGAAGTGTTTATTTATTTATTTTTAAATTAATTTATTTTAAATTAATTTTAGAGAAAGGAAGGGAGAGGGAGAAAGAGAGAAACATCGATTGGCTGCCTCCCACACTTGCCCTGAGAGGGGATCAAACCTGCAACACAGGTATGTGCCCTAAAGAAGAATGGAAACCCAGAACCTGTTGGTGTACAGGACAATGCTCCAACCAAGACCCATGGGGCCAGGATGAGCAGTATTTTTTAAATAGTGGGAGTCCAGGAAGGCCTTGAAGCCACTGGAAGATAATTAAACCTCAAAACTTACTAATGAAGATAATTTAAATAGTAGTGTTCTAACATGACATCCTTTTTTACACTCTGTGCCATCATCCCTTTCCTCCTTTACTAGTAGTTTCCATCTCTCTCTAGGGCTAATGAGAAGGGAACCAGTATCTTGGCTTCAGTAGGCCCTAAAAGATGGTTGCTACCTGAGAACCAATTCCTTTTCCTTGATTACCAAACAAGAATACAGTTCACTGTGTTCCACTACTAAGAACACTGCCTCCTGCAAAGGATACGTCTGTGAAGCCCCATGACCTGCAAATATCCATCAAAAGGATATGCAGACCATTTACACACTCTAAATCCTCACTAAGCTTTTCAAAGCTTTACTGTCAAAGTGCTTCCATATAAATAACACTATCCAAGATACTTTTAAGAGCATTAATACAAATCAATTTGGTTTAGTTCAAGTTATGATTTCTTAATTTGCAACAGATAACTTCCTTTAGGTCAGGCTTCTAAACCCCAAATAAAATTCTTACCCTAGCTTCCAGAAGTGTGACATCCATTCCAAAACTTTGTAATTGACGAGCTGCTGCCAAGCCTGAGACTCCAGAGCCTATAATAATTACCTTTCCTGTCTTTTTAGCTAAAAGCAAAAAATGAACAAAAATTAGAATATTTTGTTGTAGTTTTGAGTTTGTAATTATGGTATTTTATCATGAAAACTTCTTAACATGTCATAATGTCTTATCAAGTAAACAATTCAGCTATTTTCAAAATATAGAAAGTATCTATATATATAAAAGGCTAAGTGACCGTCTGTATGTCAGTCATATGACGTGTACTGGCAATTTAAAAATAAACGTTGACTTGCGCATGCACGATACATACACCAGTAAAGCTCTCGCTGGCGCCAATCTAGACAGAGTAGGAATATTCCTACTTGAACCCGTTTTCGGACATGGTCAGTTATATGTTGATTTCTCTCAAGTTCGAAGAGTTTTTACTCTTAATGTGGGATATATTAGAATAAGTTTATCAATTTATCAGTCATTGTTTTTATATCATGTTTTTGTTGTTTTTTATGTGTTTTTATGTCTTTGTTGTTATATCATGTTGTTATTATTTATCAATTTATATATTATTTTCATATACATTTTACTAATTTTCTTTCATCTCTGACACTTCTATTACAGAGAAAGGGTGAATAGCATTATTAAAATATTTCTTCTAATTAATTTCCTTTCAATGTGTATGAATCTGTGCACCGGGCCACTAGTCTGAATATAAATTAGCAAATATATAGAACTCATAAACTTTAATTCAATGTTGAAAATTTATAAGTGAAATCCTTTATGTTGGGATTTACTTTCTCATTTTTTCAGTTATGTGTTTCAGTATGTGTGACCTGTGTTAATTTACTGTAATTAACCTGCTTCATTACCTCACAATTACACTATGACAATTTGATCAGCCACCCTCTTTATCCTTAAAGCTATTTTCTTTAAGCTTGACTTCTACAGTCTTCAGTATCCCTTTTGGAAGAATGATTAAAGCATCAAAAATAAATGTATTTTTAAAACAACTAATTATTTAATTAACTAATTCTCAAAATATCCCTATCTCCTGGATCTCTAGCAGATATTATCTGGAGACCGTGAAAGGGGTAAATAGTATGTAAAAAGAAGAAATGCAAACTTCAGCAGTATAAAAAACTAGTCAATGAGAGAAAACCTCCAACCTCCTGTTTTCATAATCACTTCTCTCATCTTTAATAAATTTTATATTTTAATTGATTCTTCTTAAATTGGAAGTTTAATACCTTTACTAAGTACCTATCAAACCAGAAATTATAGAAAATGCATTTAAGAAAAGATTTTAATTTTGACCTTGAAGATGAACTCTGGAATATTTTAACTCCAAATATAGACTTAGAAATCAAAAAATGCTAAAAGCCTCCTGGAAATAAAACCAAGTCCTAGAACGATAACAAAATCAGGAATGCAGTGGCCAGGTCCTTACTCGGGAGGGGCTTTATCCTCTTATAGATGCCGAAGTTGATAAGACCGTGACGCTCTAAATAGCTGTGAACTCGGTGGACAAGCACAGTATCACCTATAGAATAAATGAAGTCAAAAACATGTTTATATTTTTAGCAGTTTAAACAAAATACTTTTTAACTCAATTTCTCCATCATGAAAGCATTCTATACATCTTTTCCACAACCTTCAGGTCCTGTGACTCCTTTAGAAAAGGGATTCTTAGAACTAAGTTTATGAGGTAGTACAAAATGCGTAACACATAATTAGGAATTTTTAAGAACGAGATTCCATTACAATGAAATAAAAGTCAAAACAAACCCTCCTTAATGTAATATTATGCTCATTTACTTTGGCAAAAACTTTACAAGATTTCGTTAGTGCCAACTAGGAAATGAGAAAGCTAGATAGCCAGTCAACTGAACGCCAACGAAGTACTCCATGGAGTAAAGATGGAACACAGGTCTAGGAAAATCATTAGCAATCTCTTAAACTCACTCATCTGTCACTACAATTTAAAAACCAGAAAACATTTACAAGCATACAAAACAGCTTTTCTACAAGGCTCATTTTTGCACAAGGTGAAATAAGATGAAAATACAAATTAAAAAGATTAAGGAGCCATGAGGTTCCTGGAAGGAAATGTCAATTTTCATAATCCAGTCCAAAACCAGTTCTACCGAACACATTACTTACTGTTGTAAGGTGCCTCTAATTGCTGGAGAGTAGCCTCAAAAGTCAGCTGAATCTTTGGATTATCCAACCACAACTGCAACTGTATTTAAATGATAGAAATTGTATTACACACAATTTGATGTATACTATATTTCCACTTTAAAATATTATTTTAACTTTAAGGCCCAAATACGGGCTTTCTTTTCACTGAAACAATGGGGGTTATATTCCTGACAAAGAAACTAATGAAACACAAAAACATGTCAAATGAGCAAATAATTGAAGAAGCTCAGAGATATTTAACCTAAAAAAGAAAAAAAATACCTAGTAACTTGCCAAGATCATACAGCTGGTAGGAAGCAACTAGGATTTAAACCTGGATTACATGACACCAGAGATATTGAGTAGGTACAACCAACAAAATGAAATGATCAATTAGATATACAGAGGTGGGAGAAAAGAGATGCCAAGGAAAATTCCTCCATTTGTGGCTTGTACAACTAAATGAGTCAGTATGCCATTCACTGAATAAGGATCACTGAAAGATGAGATAATGAGTTTAGTTTCAAGACAATCAAGAGTAGATATAAGACTAGTATCTCCATATATAGCTGGAGCTTATAGGAGAGTTAAGATCTAGAGCAATTTGCATATGGGTGATAACTGAAGCCAAAAGTGTAGAAGAGGGGTCCTGACAGGAGAGGACCTTAGGAGCCTTAAGGAACTCCAACCAATTCACATAATGGCCTGTTGTTCAACGATAAGCCTACAAAGCAGTCAGAGAAGACAGCAGCCAGGGAAACAGGAGAAAACCTTCTATATCTACACTAATAAAAGAGAAACATGCAAATTGGTGTCACTCCGCTACACCCACCAGCCAATCGGAGCGACTATGCAAATTAACCCAACAAAGATGGCGGTTAATTTGCATACGCAGGCACAGAGGAGCGAAGACTGAAGGCTCCGGCTGGAGTGAAGAGTGAAGAGTGAAGAGGCTTGGCTTCTCCGCTGCGGCCAGACCAAAGGCCTGGGTCCCAGATGCTGGAGGAAAACCGGTGCCAGCAGCCAGGGGAAGGAAGGCCTATTGCGCAAATCTTCGTGCAACAGGCTTCTAGTCCTATATAATAAAAGGGTAATATGCAAATTGACCCTAACAGCAGAACCACTGGGAATGACTGGTCACTATGACACACACTGACCACTAGGGGGCAGACGCTCAATGCAGGAGTTGCCCTCTGGTGGTCAGTTGCTCCCACAGGGGGAGCTCTGCTCAGCCACAAGCCAGGCTGACAGCTGCCAGTACAGTGGTGGTGGTGGGAGCCTCTCCCGCCTCCTCAGCAGCGCAAAGGATGTCCGACTGCAGCTTAGGCCTGCTCCCCGCTGGCAAGTGGACGTCCCCCAAGGGCTCCCGGGCTGCCAGAGGAATGTCTGCCTGCCAGCTTAGGCCAGATCCCCCGGGGAGCGGGTCTAAGCCAGCAGGTGGACATCCCCCGAGGGGTCCCAGACTGCGAGAGGGCACAGGCCGGGCTGAGGAATGCCCCCGAGTGCACAATTTTTTGTGCACCAGGCCTCTAGTATATATATATAAAGAGGGAATATGCAAATTAGGCCAGGACACCTTAACGGGTCACGACCACAGGAAGAGGTTGTGCGCGCAGGTGAGGCCTGGAGCGGAGATGGAGACAGAGACAGGGGGCTGGCGAGCCACTGCGCCCTGGCTCAGGCTGGCCCCCGATAGCCAGAGTGGACAGGGACAGGGGGGCCGGCCCGCAGCCTCCATGGCCGAGCACAGGCCCACCTCCCACAGAAGCGGCGTGGGTCCCTCCTGCCTCCCATGGAAGCAGCGTGGCTCCCTCCCGGCTCCCGTGGGTGCCAGCGGCTCACTTCCGCCTCCCATGGAAGCCGCATGGCTCCTGTGAAGCAGCGTGGCTCCCGGCGGCATGCTGCGGTTCCTGCTGGCTCCCACAGAAGTGGCGGGTGGCCTATTGTGCACGCTACCTCGCGATGGGCTACTAGTCTATGATAATACTAGTAAAAGCGTAATGTGCTAATTAGACCAGACGTCCTTCTGGACAAAGCCAGGGCTGCCCGGGTCCCGGGTGCCTGTGGGCGGCCGGAGGGAAGCCTGGGTCCCAGGTGCCAGAGGGAAGCCAGTGCCAGCAGCCAGGGGAAGGCCTACTCTTGCACAAATTTCATGCATTGGGCCTCTAGTAACACTATGTTAAGCTAAGGGAGTAACGTGTTTAAGAAAAAAGGAGTGGTCAGTTATTTCAAATGCTGCTGAAAAAGCAGTAAGATGAGAAATGAAAAATACTGTGGTACAATCAAAGGGCTGTACCATGAATTCTCTTCAAATTGAATATACATCTTCAAAATGTAAGACCAACTGCATACCACTATATTTAAGTCTTAGCTAAAACTTAATAAAGACTGCTCCAAAGACAAGTTTCAATGAACAAGAAGTTTGGTCATTTGTAAATAAATCCAATTAAGAAATATAACCAAAGTCATAGCATCTCCACTTTCCTCTGGCCTGTCAAGGGAAAATGGAATTCCTCAAGTACATTCTGGGCCCAAGCTCCTCACCCCCCAAAATAAGCCTCTTCCTCCTTCAACCCTATAAAATAAAGCTTAGGTTGCCCAGCCAGTGTGGCTCAGTGGTTGAGTGTTGACCTATGAACCAGGAGGTCATGATTCAATTCCCCATCAGGGCACATGGCCAGGTTGCTCAATCCCCAGGGGTGTGTGTGCAGGAGGCAGCCCACTGATGATTCTCTCTCACCCTATATAATAAAGCCTAATATGCTAAGTGTCCGGTCGTCCGTTCAACCAATCAAAGCGTAATATGCTAATGATACACCGAGGCCGCTCAACCGCTTGCTATGATGTGCACTGACCACCAGGGGGCAGACGCTCAGACCAGTAGGTTAGCTTGCTGCTGGGGTCCGGCTGATTGGGACTGAGCAAGACAGGCCGGACACGCCCTGGAGACCTCCTGTGGTCCCTCCCTGGCTGGCCAACCTCCCACGTACCTCCCCAGCCCTGATTGTGCACCAGTGGGTTCCCTCGGCCTGGCCTGTGTCCTCTAGCAATCCGGGGCCCCTTGGGGGATGTCTGAGAGCCGGTTTCGGCCCGATCCCACAGGCCAGGCCGAGGGACCCCACTGGTGCACAAATTCGCACACCAGGCCTCTAGTCATTAATATTTCTATCTCTCTCTCCCTTCCTCTCCAAAATCAGTTTAAAAAAAAATATCTATCTATCTATCTATATGTGTGTGTGTGTGTGTATACAAAGACAATTTTGTCTAAAAAGATCCATTTAGATCAAATGTTATGCTACACATAGACGTGGATTCAATTATAAGACAAATTAACCTCAGAAATACACATTAAAATTTTTCCACTCACATTAATATATATATTTATTTCAAAGAGAAAGGGAAACGGAGAGAGAGAGAGAGAGAGAGAGAGAGAGAGAAACATCAATGGGCAGCGAGAATCATTGACTGGCTGCTTCCTGCACATAAGCCCCACATTGGGGATCGAGCCTGTGCCCTGTGAGCTCCTGGCTCATAGATAAATGCTCAACTACTGAGCCACGCTGGTGGGGCTCCACTCACATTTTAAAAAATCAACCTGTTTTTTTCTCCACAAAAGAGAACCTTTATTCTGTACTACAAAAACGCAGTGTAACCTACCAATCCCACTACCTAAACAATCCAAATTTAGCAGTAATTTTGCAACCTACCAGTCACAATAAAGAAGTCAGTGATGGCTAAAAAGCAGACATGCTAAAATGACACTCTGAGCTAAATTCAAAATAACTGAAATTACAAGGTAAGTTTGCTTTTTATCACCCTAGAGTACAATAAATATGTTCTGAATAGTACCTTGCCCTCCTCTACTCTATGGTTAAGAAATTTCTGAGGAATAAAGGATATGAAAGAAAATTCATAGAAGAAATACAAATAACTAATAAATGTAAAAAAGCAGTGAGTTTAAATAATCCAAGAAATGTAAAAGAAATAAATAGTTTTGGTCTACTACAGCAGCACAAATTATCATCATTTTAATAACAAAACAGGGACAAGGCAATGGATGTGTCACCTGGTTCAGCCCTTTTGGGAAGCAATCTGGGAACCTGTATCAAAACTTAAGGGGTGCCCTAGCCAGTTTGGCTCAGTGGATAGAGTGTTGGCCTGCAGACTGAAGAGTCCCAGGTTCAACTCCTGGTCAGGGCACGTGCCCGGCTTGCGGGCTAGATCCCCACTGTGGGGCGTGCGGGAGGCAGCCAATCAATTATTCTATCTCTTCCTCTGAAATAAATAAAAATAAAAAATATTAAAAACAAACAAACAAACAAACAAACAAACAACCTTGCCCTGGCTGGTTTGGCTCAGTGGATAGAGCATTGGCCTGCGGACTAAAGGGTCCAGGGTTCAATTCCAGTCAAGGGCACATGCCCGGGTTATGGGCTCCATCCCTAGTAGGGGGAGTGCAGGAAGCAGCCAATCGATGATTCTCTCTCATCATTGATGTTTCTCTCTCTCTCTCTCTCTCTCTCTCCCTTTCCCTTTCTCTTTGAAATCTCTTTCTCCCTGCAATCAATAAAAATATATTTAAAAAACAAAACAAAAAAAAACCTTGTAAGCGGCCATACATACATTTTAACAATGTAGCTTTTCTTTTAGAACTCAATCATAAGGAAATAATAAAGAGACAGAGTCAAGAATGTATAAAAGCTGTCCAGAGGTCAACTATAACATGTAAAAATGGACACTAAAATGTCCAACAGTTAAACTATGGCTTGACTGTCAGACAAACTATTATGCAAACATTAAAAATCAAGTCTATTTAGCCAGAGGAGGATGTTGAACCAGATAAATAGAACAGAATAATGGTTTCTCTTATCCTGAGAAAGAAAAAGGGATTATTTTAAAAGTATTTTTTTTAAAACGTGTAAAGATTCTTGTTGTGTATATGAGGCTATGAGGAATGAAAAAGAACCAAAGAATGAGAGCAAGTAGGATCTCAATTTTACAAAAACAAGAATCACATATAAAAATTTAAAAATATCTGAAGGGGGAAAAAAAAACCACACTAATTTTGTATTCTCTTTCCCCCATATTTTCTCTAAAAGTAATATGCACTTTTTATAATGAGATGGAAAAAAGAACTTACTGTGCGGTTTCTAATAAATAGAAAGACCTTCTGGGTCTGCTGTGGTCCACTGATGATATCTGGAAAACAAGCTGCTTCTTGAGAAGTCATCCGGTCATGAGGAAGTCTACTCTGGAACGCTGCACCCTCCACACCTAGCAAAGCAAGCAAAGGACTTCTGGGAAAACTGCAAGTGAATTCAGAATTAGGGATAATGATTATGCCTCAAACTCCTTTTGGACCTGAGAACCTCTGTAAAGCTTTGCCTCATTCACAGCCTGATCTCACTCACCTCCTTTAAAATATAATTTGCTCAAAAGCTAAAACATCCTTAAAATTTAGTCACTCCAAAATTACAGTTTACTGAGTGAAACAATACACCTTATAAAACATGACAAGGCATCAGACTATTTTTTCGTTGACAAAATAACTTGATAATGTTGGAGAATATGCTAATTAAAATTAGTATCACTAATAGTGTACAATAAATTTTAAGGAAAATACATAAACAGAAAGCAAAAGAGGCTATGGAGTGAAAAACACAATCACCTGCCCTCTTTGAGGATTAGAGCACGGAACATGAAGAGGCCTCTAAGGTTTAATAACGAATAGTATGAAATACGCAATCTCATCAATGGCATCCCCATTAGTTCTCGTAATTCGATGCTGGCAAGCAGTGAAAGAAGTTAAGCAGACTACAATGATGAGATAGAAGGCGGCAAGGAATTTACTTTTCCTGGCAGAAACATCAGAAATGGTGTATTACATATTGCAAGTAAAATATGGTACTGCATATAGTATATAGTACATATACATGTATATATACATGTAGCATATATAATACATATACATGTAGTATATCTCATATCCTATAAGTAAAATGTTATTTTGAACTCTTTAAACTGGGTATTAAATTGGTGTTTTTATATGCTGAAAGTTAAGTACATCTTCATAAGATGTCCTTAGACATACATTTATATACATTTTACTTTATATTTCTAAGAACACTTTATAAAATATACTTAACCATCAGCTTAAGAATTATCAAGACACAATTCAAGAGTGTTAAAATTCAATACCATTGAAATAATCACATATAAGTAACTAAATAGGTACCAAGTATCTATGTTTAATTACTTTAAAGCACTTAAGAAGTTGGAAGCACTGATAACAGAAGCAAAATTAAAGGAAAAGGTATTAGTAAGATTAGAAGAATAAAATGAACAAGGCAGGTAAAGTTACAACTTGGAAAATTATAGCTAAGCTATTTAGGTGTTGCCACAAAGACATTCAAACACTGCCTAGAAAAACAAAATGGTTAACAAGAGGTCAAACAAAAATGCCTAATGCTAATATGGGCTGCACATTAAAAAACACTGTTCTTGGAGACAAGGAGAAAAACCTATCTGTCCACAACAGATAATGAGGGGAAAATACTGTTCAAATTACTAAATCAAATCAACAATCCTCACATTTAATGAATCCCAACCTAAAATTAAAGACTATCAGGATAATTAATTACTCCTAAATAAAAAAATAATCAGTAAGAGCCATATTGCTGAGGATACAGCATGAAATTAAGGCAAGAAAAGAAGAAATGCTGACTATCAGGGGATATAGGTTATTTCAGTAATGTGAAATTTTCTAAAACTACAGCTTTGATGTCTCTAGTCCCCTATCACCAAATCAAAATAAATAAACAAAAAACAAAACCAAGATAAAAAAAAATGTCATTATAAGGAGCATTACCTACAAAACAATAATAATAATCCTGAGTATTTGAACCAAATATCTCTTAATAGTTTACTTCTTGGTTTATTTCATGAGTGTCTACTATTAACATGAAAATCAATAAACTCTATAAACTCTACTTTTCTCCCTCCCCAAAATAGGGGTAGTTTTCTTTCTTAGCTATTATCTTCTCTATATTTAATTGGTGGTCACTGAACATCAATCCTATTGCAAAATACTATTGTCAATGACAGGAAAACCATGTAGAAAAAAACACTTAACTTAATATCACACCTGGCTCCTCATTCCAAGTGTTACCATAAAAAAATCACTCTAATAACTCAGCAGATACGGTTCAATGGTTGAGCATCCACCCATGAACCAAGAGGTCACCAGATGGATTCCCAGTCAGGGCAACATGCCTGGGCTCTAGGCTGGATCTCCAGTAGGGGGCGTGCAGGAAGCAGCATATCAGTGTTTCTCTCTCTCTCTCTACCCCGCTGCCTTCCTCTTTCTAAAATCAATTAAAAAATATTTTTAAAAAAGCATTCTAATGCAGCTGGCTAACTCTGGGAATCTTGAGAATATGTAACAATTAAGAGATTTTATTTATATAAGTCATGTGGCAGTTTTAAAGTATCTTTACATCAAATATCAAAAGTTTAAAAAAGGAACTTAAAGAAGCCATTTAAAGATGCCATTATCTGTGGAATAATAGTCTTCTCCATAACATCTAAAAAAGCTGGCTTTCTTAAATACTTCATCGATTTTAAAAATGAAAAATGATCTCTTAAAAAAATGTTGGTAATTATGTCCTTCCTTTTGGTTTTTAGGGATAAAGACGATTATTTTCAAGGAAGGAAAGCCACTATTAAAATCAAGGCGAAAAGCCTGCAAGAAAAAAATCTAACCTTTTTTCACAAGGAACAAAAATTAATTTGGAACTTATTTTCAGAAGCTAAATTAAAACATCCTTTTTATAGGCTGTTTCCAAAATGAACTAACAGACCACTCTGGATAACCTAACTCTTAAGTGTCTCCGTTAGAGGGAAAACCTTAAAGAGTACAGTTGTTAATATCCTTATTAAAAGGAAGTTATCAGTAGTATAGATAATTCAAAAATAATTTACACTTGGCTCTGGAATACAGTTTTATACTTGGTGTTTGTGTGCACTAATCAGAATCTGGTATTCTAGAAATTGAGAATGTTTCAAAGATGCCATTTAATTTTTAAAAAGCCCCAATGTTGCCTACATACCAATCTTGCCCTTTATTCAGTTACTCTTTCTCACCATTTTACACAGGAAATTCTAGCTCACCTTTAAAAATGCAGTCATGCTACAAGCACAACTACTTTTTCTAATGGTCTGAGTGGCTCAACACTTTCTCTGAAAACATAGTAAAAATAGTTAAATTACTTAAGGGACTAATTTAGATGTCTCTGGATAGGTCAATTCTAGAGGCAGAAAAGGAGAGGGGAGACAGATAAAGATGTAGGCCTTCTGTTCCATGAACTCATTCCCCCATCCTGATTCTGATATAACAGCAGCATCTTGAGTAAGGAAACAGAAATACAAAAATTAATAAAGGTTTTTTTTCATGAGTTACTTGCTTTTTTCTCCACCCCATAAAGTAGATAAATTAACTATAACTAGGTTTCTGACTAAAGAGTGAAAACAAAAGCCTGATAAGATCTACATATCAAAGACTACTTAAAGTCAGTCAACTATAGATGTACCATATTCAGTCTTATAATAGTTTACAAATAAAAAGAATAAAGAATGAAGGAAAGGAGAGAAAAGAATAAAAGAGGAGAATCATATGATTTCTTATGCTTTAGATGTTTTCTTTTTACGGGTAAATGCACATTTTAAGTGATTCTAGGAGGGAGTGTGTAATGAGTAGTCTATGCTTAAGAAACAAGACCTCTGGGTTCTCATTCCCCCAGCTGCTGGTGTATCCCTGGTCAAGTCATTTAACTTTGTTTCCAGTCCTAATCCATAAAATAGGGGTGATTCAATACTATCTGTTTGTCTAGGAAGCTAGACAAGATGACCTCAACTTCCCTTCTAATTTTTAAGATTTAGGATGTATACCCCAACTTGATTTGGATTTTTAAAAAGTCAAGATATGATCCCTGTCCCAAGACACTCATGAGGGTCATTGGCTTTATTTAGAGAAGATTGTTGATCACTTATAAGCACATTTCTAATACTGATTGATCATCGCACAAATGCATACTTCTGAACATGACAAAGGCCTGAAGGGAGATCTTGAAGGATTCAGAATAGTCACCACCATTCCTGGAAACACTTAAAACTCATGTTCTACTCATGTTAAGTCTGTAGCACCACAGCTTTATATGAAAGTTTGCTTTTCCTTTCAGCAATACAATGTTTTGTTTCTTTAGCAAGAGTAAATTTATTCACATAAAAACAAAACAAAAAGCAACAAGAAAACTCAGTATAGTTCTTCAAGATTAAAGCTCTAAAGGCTATCCCTGACCCTCAACAATTCCACGGAAGATCCAATTGTGCATCCTTCGATGAAAAACATTCTTGAAAGTCTGGCTGAATAAGGATTTTTAACTCCTCTAGATAACTATATACTGGTTATCAATTGCCAATCCTTGGGCTAGCATTTAAAGAAATCTGTTTCTAATATTCTGAATCCCCTAAATATTAATTTCTGTATAACGCTGAACTATCTTTGCTCCAAGAGTAAAATACAAATACTCCCTGGACCTGCTGCACACAAACTACAATAGAGAAATAATTTTAAAGTAGAAGTAACAATTGAAAAATGACATACTACAAAAATGGAGTAATACCTATTCCAATTGTATCAATATGTAAAAGCAGCCTTGACACCAGAACACAAAAACATTCTTTAAGAGGCAAAGGATAAAATGCAGACATAGTACTTTGGATTCCTGGACCAAACTTTAACTGTTCCAAATGGGTCCTAAAAGTCATTTAACTCCTTTATTTTCCCCTAGAAGTAAAAATCCCATAGTTTGGTCTGAAAATAAAGAGCATCTCAAAGCAGACTTTAAAAAATAATTTTCATGCAAGAAACAAAATGTTTAAACTGCAAAATAATTAACTGTGCAATGTTAGTTGAAAAAAATTTACCCAACACTATGCAACAACCATTCTAAAATGAGTCACTTGCCTGCATAATTTCTGACTAGTCCTAGAATGCCTTTCTGTCCTGTTTTTAAAAGACTTTCAGCCTACAGATTGTCCTCTTTATGTATACAGCTATATTTCTTTTTAAAGGTCCCATGATTCCTAAGTCTATGTTTTATGTCACGTTTACTGATACTACATAAGCTGCTGGGGAGAAAAGTATCCGCCATCTCCTTAAAAACACAAAGAGCGGAGGGCTGAGATCGGCCTGAGGACTTCAAAAGGTTTTGCTTGCCTTGCTCTAGCTACACTCTCTCCTAATACTACTCTGTCCTGTGGGTTAAATTTCCCCTGCGCTTCTGGCTACAATGTGGATACCACAGCCAAAAACACTTGCAAGCATCAATCCCTGACGTGGCGGCTCTTGCTACTAAGTGGCAAGCATCTAAGCCACCCTCACCTGATGCTTGGCCGTCTCCATACCCTCCAGAACTGTCGTCTTGAAGTCCTCCTGCTTGCCCTGTGGAAGGAAAGAGGAGAACTCAGGGACCTTACTCCATAAATTGAGGTAATATCTGGACATAAAGGCCTAATAGTTGGCGACTATCAATTCACCACCAACTAGTAAACCCATATTCAGAGAGCTCCTTTGGAATCAAGGCCCAGGGAATCACATCATAGTCTTCAAATTTCTGGTTAGGAAATTTCAACTTTACACACTGGTTCTTATTGAAAGGTAGCAAGACAAAGTACATAATATTTCTAATTGCTAAATCCTTACTGTCAGTCTTATTTAATAGTCAAGGTTGGATAGGGGGGAAAAGGGATTCCCAATGTCTTTTACTAATTATTGGTAGACTGAGAATGGGTGTGACATGGGCTCTAGGATCTGAAGTTGCAGCAATTCAGCATCTGGTCAATATCTCTTTATCTTTACTTTTCTATCTAAAAAAAAATATATATATATGATAAGTAAAAGACTTATTTTAACGAAAAATTCTCCCCTTGACTTCAAAGCAGAGTAACAAAAAAATTCAATTACAAAAAAGTTTTACCAGAATTCAATCCTAGATCTGAATATGCCAGTGCTTTCTTTAAAATACAGCATAATAAGATGGCCTACTCTCATATGCCAAATACAATCTCCCTGCTAAGAAAATTTTTCCTAACTTCAAGAAAAGTATCACAGCTTGAAAGTTCAATCTGAGAAAGTCAGAATAAATTATCTTCCAGACTCTTCCAAAACCTATCACCAAAACGGATGCTATGATCCTCTTTAACTCTGAGCCACCTGGTACAACTATGGGAAAATACTGTGATCTTTGGAAGACATGAAAAGACCATCCCCCAATTATCTAAAAACTGGACAAGCTTCATTTAAACAGTTTATTTTAAAAGAATTTCAACTAGAAAGCAGATTATTCTACTATTGAGTTAAAAGAAATAGGTAGCAAAGTAAAACTAACATAGCACCCTTGCTGTAAGAATGCTTAAAGGCCTATGAGCCTTAAAATGACATCTTCATCTTTAAGTATATGAACGTGTTTAGATAGAAATGATTTTTTTTACAATATTAAAATGTACTGCTAGAAGGTATATGCTCTGCTTTGAAGGTAAAATAGAGTATCATTCTAAAACCACAGTATCTCACTATGCTATTATCTGAACGGCCCTTTAGGTTCTAGAAGGTTATGCTTCTCAGACAAGGCACAAGACATAATAATTAAGAAGGGATGCCCTGGCTGGTTTTGCTCAATGGATAGAGTGTCGGCCTGCTGACTGAAGGGTCCCAGGTTCGATTCTGGCCAAGGGCACATGCCTGGGTTGTGGGCTCAATCCCCAGTGGGGGGCGTGCAGGAGGCAGCCAATCAATGATTCTCTCTCATCATTGATGTTTCTCTCTCTCCCTCCCTCCCTCCCCCTTCCTCTCTAAAATCAATAAAATATATTTAAAAAAAAAAGAAGGGATGACTGTAATTACATAATCCAATCTGCAAACGTATCTTGAAAATGCAGGCCCTACATTTAAAATTTAATTTTTAAAAGCTTAAATAATGTTCATTTTTACTGACTTCTGGATTTGTTCATAAAAACAAAAATCTTCCAAAGTTAAAAAAAATTGTCATTATTTTGTTTAGTTCCAAATAGAACCAAGCTAGACCAAAATATTGAACTATATTTAAAAAAAGGGAAGAGAAGGGCTCAGAACAAGAAAATAAATATGGTTTCCAAGAATAACATTTAGGCATCAGGAATAATACAGTTCCTCTCTCAAAGTATATTTCCTAGCTTGGCAAAGAATAACATCAATGTCATGAAGGCCTGTAACCACTTTTAGGAAAAAAAAAAAAAGTAAAAACAAAAACCTCTTTCAAGCCAGCCATTAAGCCTGAATTATTTTGTCCTTCCTACTATCATTTTCCTCTTTTTCCACTATATACCATGTTATCTGCTAATTACCTTATTTTAACCTACAGGTAGCTCTTGACTGATCTTTTTTCCCTGGTCAGTGGTACTTTGAATAGAAATAAGGATTTCTTACTCCTGACTTATGTGCTTTAAAAGTTAACAGGTTGCTCTTTTACAAACTAGGTAGGGTAGTCTTTAAAAAAAGATACTGTTTTTGTCAAAAGATGTGGGAGGAGTATAAAAATCCAAAATATGACTTATGCAGAGAAATAGGAGAAGGCCAAGCAGAAGTTGATGTAGACATGTAAGAAATGATGGGAAAAAACAAAAAGTGCTTAAAATTAAGCAAAGGAACAAAGAGATTTATCTCTTGACTTGGAAGAAGTAAAGATGAGGTTGCTTTTTTTCTCTAATCATAATATACTCATGAGTATTTGAGGGTCCATTTCTCCAAAGACATCTGAAAACATTATCATCTTTATCACTGGTATTCTAGACCAATTCTTCATCATTTTCTTAAAAACAGCACACGTACAAATGTTTGAAGCTAACTCTCCATCCAGGTAGTGTCTCCGATTAAAACATATAAAAATGGAATACTCATTTGCTCTTTGGGTCTTTCCAGCCTAGGGCTCTGCTTCTGACAGCGGCACAATGATATGGAACAGCAGGCAAGTACAGTTATCTTCCATGAGTTCAAATTCAAAACAGAAAACAAAAATATACCAAAGCAACTTTTTAATATTACTCTGATTTTGACACCACTTCACAGACTTCCTTTTGTTTTCACCCCTTCACTACACACACAGACCCTCAAGTTTGGAGTAGAGATCCTTAATACAGGTTATTTATGCCTACCTTCTCCAAACTGAAAATAAAATCTTTTTGTTCTATCTTACATAGCAGCCTCTCAATTGCCCTCTAATAAACCTTCTGCAGATCTGTTAAGTCATTCTTAAGCAGTTAAGTATTTGTTATAGACACTACTGGATCTTTTCTCATCTTGAGTCAAATGCTCAAGAGACCACTCTTTCAATATCTTAAAAGAAAGTCTATAATGGCTTTGAAATACTTTTATTGAGCAAGCATGGATGTAAAAATCATTGGTTTGTTGTTCTCAGGAACATGCTGACCAACAGGTTCACATTTTGACTAGTTTCTTAGAACCACATCCAAATTGATAACTTTTGTAAACATTTGAGAAACTTCTAGATCTAGGAAGCAACAATTTTTAAACAGAAAATAAATTTATCAAAATTTATTATCAAAATTTTACTAAATTTACAGAATAAAAGAGACTGCCAAACTATTGGTTTCAATCAAACCTGACAAACTGGACAGAAAACAAACAAACTCTAACATTAAACCCATCTTAGAAAATAAAGTTTCCACTATATTAATAATCAGTTGGTTTCTTATTTAATAATCTAATTCAGTATTTACTGAATATCCATCCCAAAACTGCCAAGCACAAGTACAAAAGTACAACAGGTTGAATCCCGATTTTAAAAGAATTTAATCTAACTGGGGAAAGATGAAAAATATCCAGAAAGAATTTTTTTTTTTTTTAAAGGAAACAAGAAGCTAGCACAGACTTGGAGAACCAGGGAAACTTTTCTGAAGAAATCCAAAGAGATCTGGATAGATGGAGAGGCAGTGAAATCACCAGCACGGTCCACAACTTTGACAAAATCAAGGAGAAAAGCACAAGACATGGTATGTGCAGGGAACCAGTTCCCCATTAGTAAAGGAGATGGTCCCAAAAAGCAGTGGGAGATTAAGCGGGATGAGTAAAATGAGCCACCTTTAGTGCCCAAAACTAAATTTGATCTTAAATAGTAAAGGGGCAGAACTATATGATCTTGATCAGGAAAGCAGCAAAACAAGATATTTTAGTTAAGCTAATCTGGTCACTTTGTAACGGATGAATTAGAGGGAAAAGATAACCTAAATAAATAAAGGAGATCATTTAGATGTGAAGTGAAAGCCACTAGAATAAAAATGTGACAGTGAAAATGAATAAGGCATAATAATCAAAGAGGCTAGGGTTACACTGTCATTTAACATATTAAACTAAAACATATTGCTTGAATAAGACATCAATCCACCCTATTTCTGGTTCAACTCTGTGTTTACAAAGATGTTTGTACACAAAGGTGGAGTTCATATTTTCTCATTTGGTCCTCATTTTGCAGGTGAGAAAATCCTCATAGAAAAAGTATCCTGTTCCTATATTATACTATGATCAGACCAAATAAAGAATGGTAGCAAGATGAATTCAAGGAATTTATAAAAACAAAGTTACTCAGCTCAACAAAATGCTATTTTACCTTAATAAAAAATAAAACAAAATAATCAGATCATTAGAAAAAGCAGCTCAGTCTCTAAGACCAAACAGAAACTGGCAGTATCTGATTCAATGGTTCTTATCAGTCAAATCAGTTAAAAGGATCTCAAACTGCCTCATAAAAGCCCAACTTCATCTCTTCATGTTTAATGTAAAACTTCCAAAATCCAATCTTGGGAAAAACATTTAAAAACTCCTGAATTCTCACCATACTATGAATACACTTTTATTGTACTGTTTCTTCCCTGTAGTCAACTCATTGTAAACCTAAACTAGATTGAATTATTTGCAGGGGGACCCAGTGTTCAGCTTTGAACCCTCAGAATCCAGCACTATGCCTAGAACAAAGCACTGTAGTTTTATAATTAACTAGAGGCCTGGTACATGAAATTTGTGCACAGGGGTGTGTGTGTGTGGGGGGGGGTACCTCAGCCCAGCCTGCACCCTCTCACAATCCTGGACTGCTGGCTCCCAACCGCTCACCTGCCTGCCTGCCTGATCTCCCCTAACTGCCTCTGCCTCGGCCCCCACCACTGTGGCTTTGTCTGGAAGGACATCCAGAAGATGTCTGGTCTAATTAGCATTATTATCCTTTTATTAGTATAGATGTGTGTGAAATAAAGTAAATGAGGACCTGCTATGTTTGGGGGAGTCTTATTTTGTGCAGAAAATGTCTCTATCTTTTTTTTTTTAATGTTCCTCTCCATACTATCAATTCCCATACTTTCCCTCCCAGCCTTTATGCCTCCAAATTTTTACAGTGAAATGTAATGTTTAAGAGTATTTTGCCTTTTACTTTACATTTATGTGTACATTTGTGTCTCATACTAAGCTATAAATTATCTGAGAGTGGGGACTATGTGTTGATATATATCTCGGTTCATTTATAGTTATCTCAAATTTAAAAATTTAGTTAAACTGATCTAGGTTACCTTATCAGCCTGTGACACTTTTTTTCTCAGCCCTCCAGTAAGCATAGTTGCAAATCAGAACAATGAAAAGATGCTACATGCCCCTCCTCCCAAAAAAGGACAAAAAAATTAATCCTAGGTCTGTTCTGTAAATGTATGCATCATACCTCTTATAACGGGAACTCAAATGATTCCAGGCACTTGACACTGGCAGGCCAAAATGGCAACATCAACAATTCTAGCAGGAATAAATTTCCCAGCAACTTCTGGTAAATCTACAAGGAGGTCTCCTACTGGGTATAACAGAATTCTATCTTTCCTTTGGAGGTTATCTGAGTTAATTGTCACTGAACCTGAAAGCTACTCCTGCTCTCTGACTGCACCTGTAGGCAAGGTGAGAGAAAAGCCTGGGATAAGCCATAGTAATAGCATGACATTACTACATGAATAATAATTATTCACCCGAACTCTGACCATATAACTATCCAATGCTGCCAAACCCAGCACTTGTATAACTGTATGTAATCATGACTGCCTCGCAGGAGAGATGAGGACACCTTATAACAAATAATTTTGGTCATTGGATCTTTTATCATGTGGATAATTTCATGATATCAGTGTTTGTGATCAAATTTCATTGAACTTTAAGATAAATTCTTTTATCCATTCACATACATTTTACATATTTTCTGCAATTTATTATTTTTACTAATTCAGGTTATGTTTTCTTTTATCTGATTTTAAAAAACAGTTTCAACCTATAGTATGACTATTATATGAACTGGGCCCCAAAATTAAAACCACACAAATTTCAGTCATACCAATCTCACAAATTATTTTTATAATTTGTTTACCAGCCTATATCTCTTTCCAAAATTATCATGCAAAACAGAGAGAACAGGTACTTTCCTTTGTTTATATTCTTACAAGGGTTCTTGTAAGAATATAAACAGGAGACAAAGTGATTCTTCCCACAGTCATTGAATAAAACAGATTATATATAGTTCAGAGCTGTCCCTGATCAGCTAACCACCCCTAATAACCATATCTAACAAAATCAATTTGAAGAGTTAATCAATAGTTTAATAAAGTCTGACCCACTGACTTCAGAATACCTTGAGCATTCATAATCAACAAAATATTTTATTCTTCTAAAGATTAACACTGTGGAAAAAGCAAAGCTAAATTTTCTAAACAAATTAAAAGTTGGTAAGAATGAAATATATTAAAACCTTACTTACATAGCTTAAGAGAGTAATTTAATTTCTAGTTATTACCTAAAATGAGATGAAGAAAAGTTCTGGTAAAGAATCAGACCCACCTCTTCTCTCAAGATTTTAAGATACCTATATGGCAATGCTCCCATTCAATTTCTGAATAAAAACTGAAGTAGAAGAACTGGTTCTGACAAGACAAAAGATTTGGAAACTCTGGACAGTTTCTAAATATTTGGACTCACCTGGTAATATTTTATGATTCACCACCAGGGCCCAATCTATTTCTAAATTATATAAACTAGTAAACTGCATCACTACTTTTCTGGCTAAAGTACTTCCCTCATTCACCTTGGAATTTTTTTTAAAGTTGTTTTAAAGAAAAAAAACTTTATAAATTTTCATAACCACATATAATATATTGGCAAGTTCTGGCTGTTATCAACACATCTCTGAGCACATCTCCTAAACTTAATAAACAAACTTTAACTTTTCCCCAAAATATTAAGATAATTAGACTAAACCACTGAATTAAAGTTAACTAGAACATAATAGCATAAAAGACAGTTCCCCAAATCCTAAATCCCTGTGTTAAGATATTTACTTTTTGTGGAGTGCCTGATATTTATGAAAAAAGATAACCAACAACAAATAAACAAATAGCTGCTTTTATGAAAAAGAAAACATCAAAATGAGACTTGGTTTAAACTTTTCAGAAGACAAAGTACCAATTTGGTACCAATGTAAATCAGTTATTTACTGGAGACACTGACAACCACAAAAAAGAGGGTGAAGCAGCTTATTAGATGTCTGCTGAATAATACTTAAGAGTCCTTGAACAACCTCTTGAGCTATGACATATCAAAAGGATTGTCCCCACGTATCGCATTAGCAAGTCTACAGCAAAGGCAGAAAAAAAAAGGCAAGAAAGCAAAGAATACAGAAGAAAGAAGTAAACAGTCAAGAGAAGAATTGGAGACAAGGACAGAAGAAGGAAGAAAGCTATACATAAGTCTTTTAGAGAGGAGGGGAACAAAAAGAGAGGTGTTGAGGTACAGAGGTGACTACATTTGCCTCAGGAACATTAGTCCCAAAGATAATATATACAATCCAATAAGAAGCTGTCCAAGAAGTCATTCTAAGAAAGTTTAGGAAAACCATTCTAGGAAAATCTGATTCCCGAGATGAATTGAACACAGAATCTAATTATCTTTTTCTAAATGCTCTCGAACTATAGGGTGTCCCCCCAAAAATGTATACACACACTTTGAATAATTATAAAGGCAGTGTTTTATTAAAATACATTTCATTTTCAAAATTGAGCTATCAGCTGTTAAAGTGTGTATACACTTTTTTTGGGGGGAGGGGACACCCTGTATATTCTTTTGTTACATTTTATTGAAGTACAAGTGTGGTGATTTATATACATCACAGAGGGAAATATTAAGACAAAAGTTTTAAAGACTAAAAAAAAAAGATAAAACTTATCAAATGAAATATGCTTTAATCTAGGTACCTATGAAAATCATGCAAAATACAGCATATGGGATCTGAAACAAGCATTTTGTTTTAATGTGTTTTATTGATTTTAGAGAGAGGGGAAGGGAAAGGAAGAGATAGAAACATCAAAGTGAGAGAGAATCAATCGGCTGCCTCCTGCACACCCCCTACTGGGGATCAAAGGGCAACCTGAGCATGTGCCCAATCACTTGAACCACTACCTACAAACAGGCTTGTTTTTGTTTCTAAAAGAATTGGTGAGGTGAATGGGCCTGGAGCTACTGGAAATATCAAAAGTATTTTGAAGAGAACACAGTAAAAATTTAAAGTCAAGAAGAGTTGAAATGCCATTAAGGACAGAAGATATGAAAAATTAATTAAGTTGTCACTTCTGTTTGGTCTCTCCAAAATAGATAGATATCGCTGATTGGTCTGGGTGTCCTCAGTAGGACTCAAGACTAAGGAGGTATCAGTGAGAATTCTTTAAAGGTAGTTGAAGCTCTGACTCTAATAATCTTTCCATGTCATATGATTGTGTGAGCTTAAAATCTCTTCATAGCCTTTTCTTATACCATTCCTTCCACTGGAGGGCTCAATAATTAAATAACAGGTACTTAGTTCTTTTTTACATCAGAATATATTTTTTTAATTTTTCACCAGGAAAAAAACCCTTCTCAAACTAATCCACACCATGAAAGTTATCCATCCATTTGGTAAATGCATAATTAACCAGAATAATTTCTGAACCATTCTATCTCTAAATTCTGAATCAGTTATCACTGAGAGCTTTGGCTCTTTAGATTTGGCTTTCTGTGTGTTTCCTCTAATTGTTTATTTTCTCCAACTTTTAAATGCTTTATACTGACTGCCACTACTCTTCCACCCCCTTCTTTACTATATATGTGTGTGTGTGTGTGTGTGTGTATATCTGCACACACAGAAAGAATATCAGTACCACTATGTATGCATGCATGTGTGTATACCAGGTATACACACATATATACATACAATTAAGACACACATGGCCAATGTCTAGAATATAAACCAAAGCTAAAGACATAAATAACATGCACAATAGGAACAAATCCATTTATTCTTATTTCTAAGATAAAACCAAACTGGTTGGTGACTACAACTCACCAGATGGCTCTTCAGGCTCACTTTCATTTTCTTCCTCAGGTGGGGCTTGAGGGGGTGGTGGGGGAAGCTTCTTTTCCTTCTCTGCTTTGGCATTTCTCTCTTCTTCTGAATAATACTCATCTTCTGAGAGGTTGGCCAAGCTTTCGTCCATCTCTCTGTACTCTACCTATATGGAGATTATACCAGAGAAAGCTAAATACAGTGAACATCTAAAGTTAGGGACTCAATTTGGAATCATCAGTGAATGTGAATTGCTATTTTTAACTTTAAATTTTAAGGGAAATAAATAACAAGCAACAAGCTGACTCATAATAGGTAGCTAATTAAAAACAAAATCTCTCATGAAACAATCTTGTGTCAGTTCACATTTAGCCCAATATATATCTTTTACATCATAGCACTGACATTCAGATCAATGACTCGAGGCTCTCTAGAACTCCCAAATTTAAAAAAAAAAAAAAAAGGTGTGTGTGTGTGTATCAGGTGAGTAGCTAGAGGAGGTTAAGAGTTTTATTGAAAACAGGGATTGGATCAGAAAATGGAAAACAAAAATTAAGGATAAACTGGATAGTTCTGACCCATGCTCTAAGAATCTTATTTAACACAAGTATCCATCAAATACTGACCACTGAGTACATGGCCCAGTGGAGAAAATGATTATGAATGAGAGTCTCCAGAGACTAAATAAACAGAAACTCTAGTTGCAAATAAAATATCCTAATCAGGTAGCCATCTCATAGAGAGATTTACAATAAAACCTCCAGCCACGTAAAGTTTATCCTATTATTAACTAAGATAAACGGTAAAAACAGACACCGTTTGATTTTTAAAACCTTGATTTAACACACTAATTTGGGCAAAGGGGTGTCTGTTATAGCTGAAAGTCCATTATATAAGTAGTTTTTCCAAATGCGTATGTTAAAAAAGTTGACAAATTAGTTTACCTATTTTTACTTATGTAGACATGTTTGTGTAATTAAGTATGCATGCAAAGTTTAATTTCACAGAAAAGTGTTCTATATGTATTACTGTAATTTTAAATTTATACTGAATAGGACAATAGGTTAAAAAAAGCAACAAGGAGGGAAAAAAGTTTCAGAGGGAGACAGGTCAGAAAATGTAATATATGCTAGTATTGTGTAGTTTCTTTTATTCTTTTAGCCCTCCCTACCCCAAAGATTCAGCACTTTAATCCCCTGCCCATCAATCCTACCCATTCAATCAATAATCACTTAATAAATACCTACCATGGAACTGGGCAATGTGCAAATTCTGAGACAAACACAGAATAATATCAAATTCTTTCTAGTTCAGCTAGATTCTATGCCCTTTCAAGGAAAAAGGAAGCTAAGATAAGTTTGAGAAATGTTACAATCTTTACAGGCCCCAGAGTCATAAAGCAGATTAAAAAGTACCGAGAGCCCTAGCCAGTTTGGCTCAGTGGATAGAGCTTAGGCCTGCGGCCTGAAGGGTCCAGGGTTTGATTCCCGTAAAGGGCACATGCCCAAGTTTCAGGCTCAGTCCCCAGTGGGGGGCGTGCAGGACACAGTCAATCAATGATTCTCTCTCATCATTGATGTTTCTATCTCTCTCTCCCTCTCCCTTCCTCTCTGAAATCAAATAAGAAAAAAGCCCTAACCAGTTTGGCTTAGTGGATAGGGCGTCAGCCTGTGGACCAAAGGGTCCCAGGTTCGATTCCGGTCAAGGGCATGTACCTTGGTTGCGGGCACATCCCCAGTGGGAGGTGTGCAGGAGGCAGCTGATCGGTGTTTCTCTCCCATCGATGTTTCTAATTCTCTATCCCTCTCCCTTCCTCTCTGTAAAAAATCAATAAAATATATTAAAAAAAATAATAAGAAGAAAAAAAGTACTGAGAAATTTTGCAGTAAAAACTATCTTTTTAACATTGTTTAATCTGCTTTGATGAAGTAGTAACTATTAACAAGGGATACATTTGGAAAAGGCTAGTTTAGAGAGTTCTTGGTTTTCAGGAAATAAAGAGATTAGAAAAATACCTAGAGATAGGAGCAAAGGGGTGTCTGTTATAGCTGAAAGTCTAAGTTTAATTTCACAGAAAAGCGTTCTATATGTATTACTGTAATTTTAAATTTATACTGAATAGGTCTAGTAAATGCACCAGTCATAGAGAGTAAGCAAATGTACACAGCTGGGGCATGCTTAGTGCACGTGGGAACATCTCCCTGCAGGTGTTAAAATTGCTGCAGAAAGTCCTACTGGGAGACAACAGACCAATTACCACATACTAGTTATTTGCAGAACATTGTTATCAGCGTGACTCTTGGATTTAAACATGTAGACTATAGTTGTAGATACGGCGACATTACTATGGTTTTTTCCCCCAACATATGGCCTATTTACTAAAATTTGTTAAAAATAACTGAATTAATAACAAAAAATAAGCTGTTCATTATAAGCAAATCTTGGTCAAAACCACTTTTAAATTAACAGGATGTTAATTTTCACATATGACATACACACCGGAAATTTTGTCCATTCAATCCGAAGTTCATTAAATCAAGGACTGGAAAATTGAGGGTTTACTGAACTTAAAAATAACACAACATTGTGTTCCACAGAACCCTAGGATTCTTCAGGATTTTATTTAAAATTTTTAATCCTCACCCAAGGATATGTTTTTATTTATTTTAGAGCGAGGAAGGGGGAGAGAGACAGAAACATCAATGTAAGAGAGAAACATCGATGGGTTGTCTCCCATACCTGCCCCGACTGGGGACTGAACCGGCAACCTAGGTATGTGCCTTGATGGGGAATTAAACCTGCGAATTTTGGTGCATAGGACGATACTCCGACCAAATGAGCCACTCAGCTAGGGCTCATGTATTAATTTTTAAAGTAAATACACACTCATGTGTTATCCAAATGATAAACCTTAAGAAACCACCAACACATGAACTTGTACTGTTTGGTAACAATTTTGGAGAGCCCTGAGGATGAAATTTCTTCTTCCATCTCTCCTCTACTCTCTCTCTTCCTCCCCCCCCCCCCCCCCCCTCTCTCTCTCTCTCTCTCTCGCGCGCGCGCACGCACTTCTCTTTCTCTTCCTTCCTTCGTTGTTGTTGTTAATCCTCACCTGTCGATGTTTTCCCATTGATTTTTAGGGAGAGGGGAAGAGAGGGAAAGACAGAGAGGAACATCGATGTGAGAGAAACACATTGATAGGTTGCCTCCTGTATGAGCCCTGACCAGGAGCCTGCAACCAAGGTACGCAACCTTGAACGAATCAAACCCAGGACCCTTTGGTCTGCAGGCCTCCATTGAGCCAAACCAGCTAGAGCCCATTTCTTTTCAACTGTCTTAAGATGGCAAAGCAGGGATCACAATACCAGATATTAAGCTATATTACAAAGCCACTGTTCTCAAAAACTGCCTGGGGGTTGAAACGGCCCCTGTGAGGTTGAAACAGCCCCAGTAAGGTTGAGACTGCCCCTGTGAGGCTGCG